TGCTGCCTTTCCCACAGTCGCTGACCTCATTACGCACCTTCGCACTAGTGACAATCGCTACCGCGCTGCGCTTCCTGCTGAGTTCTGTGCCAAGAACCCTCCCCCCATGTACATCACCCTCTACTACATAGTCACCCGACTCCCTGACTCCCTTCGCTTAGTCAGGGACCACTTCCTTTCAGTTAGCCCCACCACACTCACCGTTGACCTCCTTGAGGAGCGCCTCCTGGCAGCAGAGAAGAGCATAGTCGCCGTAGGAGCCTCTCGTGGTGACCCTCGTACCCCCGTCTTTGAGGGGTGTTCCCCCTCCCCCCTCTTGCCCTCTGTTGCTTCTGCTGCTGCGGCCGACCTCGTTGGTTTCGAGTCGGTCGGCGCTGCGTCTGCCCCTAGCGGGAGATGCCGCACAGGCAAGGGCAAGGGGGGCAAGGGCGCTAGAGGGGCTGGCGGGGGCGGTGGAGGTGGCGGTGGAGGTAGTGGAGGGGGTGGGGGTGGTGGTGGGAGTGGTGGCGGGGGTGGAGGTGTCCGTCGCAGCAGTGGAGGCGGAGGAGGCGGCGGTGGTGGCGGTGGGAGCGGAGGCGGCGGAGGTGGCGGAGGAGGTGGCGGCGGCGGCGGCGGTGGAGTTGGTCGCGGCTCTGCACAGAGGAGTGGCTCCGGTGGTGGTCAGTGTTAGCAGCAGCAGCGCACTCGTGAGACCCCGTCCCCACAGCAGCTTCGTGAGTGGTACGCTAGGCGTCAGCGAGGTGGGGGTACTGATCCCTATACCTACGTCCTCCGTACCGGCGACCGCGCTGGTGAGCAGTGCGGGGGCTCGCACTCCACCCAGCGCTGCTTCGGCCGCCTGACAGACGCTTGGCATCACCAGTTCCCTGACGCCACTGAGATCCCTCGCTGGGGAGAGCTGTCTATGGCGGGGGTTGCTATCTTTGATCTTGACTATGATGCTATTCTTGCTGCCATTTATGCTGTGTCTACTAGTGATGAGGGTGACTGTTTCCTGTGTGTTCCGCCTGACCCGGGCATTGAGGCTGCTGCTCTAGGTGCTGGTGAGGCTGCTGCTCTAGGAGCTAGTTCGTCTGCTGCCCCAGGTGCTGGTGAGTCTGCTCTCTCAGGTACCACGTCGGCTCAGGCCTTACACACCTTCACCCATGACTCGGGTGCTTCCCGCTCCTTCTTTCGAGACCGCACCACGCCTACGCCGCTTAGTCGGCCGGTTGCGGTCTCCCTGGCGGACCCCTCTGGGGGTCCTGTCCTTGCTAGCTTCTCCACAATCTTACCGTGTCCGGCATCCCCCTCTAGCACCCCGTCAGGTCTCTACCTCCCCTCGTTCTCTACGAACTTGGTGAGTGGTGCTGATCTACAGGATCAGGGGGTTGACCAGTTAACTCCTGCGAGTCAGCGGGTGACCCACTGTACGTGTGCTCGGACGGGCTGACACTTGGCCACGTTTACACGTCGGCCGGGGTCGAGCCTGTACACACTGACTACTGAGTCTCCTCCGTCTGCTGCGTCTGGTCAGGTAGCTGCGTCGAGTCAGGTGTCTGTTGCAGCGTCCAGGTCTGGTCCTGAGTCTTCTCCCTGCTCGTGTCGTCTCCTGTCCCACCAGACTCTCCTTTGGCACCACCGCCTTGGCCACCCCTCCCTGCCTCGTCTCCGAGGCATGGCCTCCCGTGTCCTTGTCTGTGGTCTCCCCCGGTACCTCCCTCCCCTCCCTCCGGGGCCTGCCCCTACCTGCGTTCCCTGCGTCGAGGGGCGGCAGCGCGCCGCCCCTCACTCCTCCGAGTTTCCTCCGACAGAGGCTCCCTTGCAGACTCTTCACATGGACGTGTGGGGCCCCGCCCGCGTTCGTGGCCAGGGTCACAAGCGTTACTTCCTGTTGGTGGTTGACGACTACTCGCGTTACACCGCGGTGTTCCCCTTGCGTAGCAAGGGTGACGTTACTGAGGTGTTGATCGACTGGATCCGCGCAGCTCGTCTCCAGCTCAGACAGAGTTTCGGCTCGGACTTTCCTGTTCTGCGTCTGCACTCTGACAGAGGCGGGGAGTTTTCCTCTGCCCGTCTGGGAGCCTTCTGTCGTGCACAGGGCATCCGCCAGACCTTCACGCTTCCGGCCTCTCCACATCAAAATGGGATTGCTGAGCGCCGCATTAGCATGGTCATGGACGTCGCTCGTTCGTCTATGATCCATGCGGCTGCTCCCCATTTTCTGTGGCCGTTTGCGGTTTAGTACACAGCGCATCAGCTCAACCTTCAGCCCCGGGTCTCCTTGCCAGAGACCTCCCCCACCTTGCGGTGGACGGGGAAGGTTGGCGGTGCGTCTGCGTTTTGGGTCTAGGGATCTCGGGCGTTTGTCCGCGACTTGTCTGCGGACAAGCTGTCCCCCCGTGCTGTTCCCTGCGTCTTCTTTGGCTTTCCCCCTGACGCGCCTGTTTGGCAGTTTTACCACCCCACCTCGCGCCCTGTTTTGTCCTCCCAGGACGTCACCTTTGAAGAGTCGGTGCCTTACTACCGTCTCTTCCCCTACCGCACTGCACTCCTCCCCCCGCCACTGCTCTTCCTTGCGCCAGGTCCTCCCCCGGTAGACCCTCTCCCCCCCTCAGGGTCCCGCCCCGCCAGGCGTGTCCCAGGTAGACGCAGTCGAGCCTGTCGAGGTAGCTATTGACTCTGGTGCTGCTAGGGGTGCTGAGCCTACAGGTGCCGGGTCTGGGGGTGCTGAGCCTGGGGATTCGGAGCCTGGGAGTGCTGCGTCTAGGGGTGCTGAGCCTGCGGGTGCCGGGTCTGGGGGTGCTGAGCATGGGGACGCTGAGCTTGGGGGTGCGGAGCCTGGGGGTACGAGCCTGGGGGTGCTGGGTCTGCTTCGTCGAGGCGGGAGCTACTCTCTCCGCAGGAGCTGCGCGAGTGGTTTGCCCGCCGCTGGAGCCGTGCTCCTTGAGCTGGAGGTACTACTGTTGCTGCTGGTCCAGGAGGTGCTCGTATTGGCAGTAATGGAGCTGTTGGGACTGGGGGTGCTGCTTGGGCTGCTGGTGTTACCCCTGCTGGAGGTACTGCTGGAGCTGGTGGCGGTGCTGGAGCTGTCGGTCCTGCTGGAGTTCGTGCTGCTGGAGCTGCTGAAGCTGCTGGAGATGGACGGTCCTGTTGGAGTTCGTGCCTTAGTTGCTGAGCTTGTCGACTTTGCTGCTCGCTGTCGTCTAGACTACGCTGCTAGTCTTGTTGCTGAGTCTGAGTGTGTCTGTCCTCCGTCCGTCGGAGGTGAGTGTGCTCTTAGCACGGACGTCCTTGAGGATAGGCAGGAGGAGTTCCAGTGTTTTGCTGCTGCTTTTCCTCATCTCGTGTCCACGCTGATTGCCCCTGAGGGAGACCCGGATGCCCCAGACATCCTGACTCCTCGATCGTACGGTGAGGCGATCGAGGGTCCCTACTCCTCTCCATGGCAGTCAGCCATGGACGCAGAGATGGCTTCCTGGAAGTCCACAGGCACCTACGTCGACGAGGATCTCCCACCTGGGGCGAACATCGTCAGTGGCATGTGGATTTTCAGGGCGAAGCGGCCGTCGGGTTCTCCGCCTGTCTTCAAGGCGCGTTACGTGGCTCGAGGCTTCAGTCAGCGGCAGGGAGTTGACTACTTTCAGACCTTCTCTCCTACCCCGAAGATGACCACTCTTTGGGTGCTTCTGCACATAGCCGCTCAGCGCGACTACGAGCTTCACTCTCTTGACTTCAGCACAGCTTTCCTGCAGGGCAGCCTGCACGAGGAGATCTGGCTGCGCCGCCCACCTGGCTTCACTGGGTCGTTTCCTCCTGGTACCCAGTGGAGCCTCCGGCGGCTAGTCTACGGTCTCCGCCAGGCACCCCGTGAGTGGCACGACACGTTGAGGGCTACACTTGCGGCTCTTGGGTTTGCTCCGTCTACTTCCGACCCGTCGTTGTTTCTGCGCACCGACACCTCCTTGCCGCCGTTCAACATCCTCCTGTACGTCAACGACTTGGTCTTTGCCACAGCTGACACTGCTGGACTCGCCCACGTGAAGTCCGAGCTGCAGAAGAGACACACGTGCACAGACCTGGGTAAACTGCGCAGCTACCTTGGCTTGCAGATCACTCGTGACAGAGCACAGCGCACCATTACCCTGACTCAGTCACACATGGTGCAGCAGGTCCTTCAGCGCTTCGACTTCACGTACTCCTCGCCTCAGGCCACTCCTCTGTCTACTCGCCACTCGCTCTCAGCTCTGCCTTCGGATGAGTCCGTAGAGCCGAGTGGCCCGTACCCAGAGCTTGTTGGCTGCCTCATGTACCTGATGACCTGCACACGACCTGACCTAGCATACCCTCTTAGCATCTTGGCACACTATGTTGCTCCTGGGAGACACCGACCAGAGCACATGGCTACAGCGAAGAGGGTGTTGCGCTGGGCGTGTCCAGCGCGTAGGTTCACACCACATGTGCCGCAACAGTTACCATATTTTTCAATGTAACCACAGTTTTACATAATCTTTGGACATCGTACACCCCTGGAATGTAAATTACGGAAATATCACACACGTCCGTCGACTCGTGAACATGACGCGCAACGCACGTAACTAGCACCATATTTTGGAATGTACGAGTCTGTATCTCAACAGCTCCACATTCAGTGAGGTCCATCCCCAGATTTCGCCAGGCCACTTTGAATCTCGCGAAATTCAAGGGGGTATTTTCCAACCCTTCTGGTTGCAGAGTAGTTCGGTCGCCACTGTCGCGCAACTTGCTGTTCCAGTTGCGCTGAGAGGCGAATTGTGTCTTCCAGCTGTTTTTTGGACCCAGGACTAGGTACACCTGGCAGTACCATTTCTGCGCGTGATCCGAAATGCGTCAAAATTGTGTAAAAATCCGAAAGTGTACGCGCTGAACAAGCCCTAACTCCTCGTAACAGCACGCTTCTAGTTCACGCCGAGGGCTGCGGAACCCCGCAGGAACACCATGTCGCCGATAGTTTTCCTTGAGAGTGCCTCAAACTACCTCCGATGAAGCGCTCTCGGTTCGTTCGCCTCTTCCTTGTCTTGCAGCAAGTGCGGTGCCTCATTTGCAACTCTGTGTCGTCTGATGTGTGCGATTGCTGATTCACTCATGCCTGGCTAAATCATACAGCCAAGCAATCTCTGCTCTCTCTCGCCCCACTCGCCCCTTTCCGGATGCCGTTCTTTCTTTTCACTACCACATAATCCCTTTCTGGTTCCATACGCAGAGAGGATGCAGCGGAACGAGATGCAGCGAATCTTGGCGGGGATGCCGGAAACGGAGAGGCTCTAGGGCTGGGATTCGGGACGAGAGACGACGGCGGGGCGCGCCCGGTATCTTCTGGCGGCGGGTCGGAAGGGGGAATTGGGTCGTGGGCATGGAGGGGAGGGGAGACAAGCGGTGGGGATGGTGGCGGGTGGGCAGGAGGAGGAGGAGGTAAGGGAGGTGATGACCTGGGGATCGCGGCCCTGTTGGGGAACATTGAGGCGCCGAGAGGGGAGGAAAGGCGGGGAAAAGGGAGGGGCGAAAAGCAGTTGGGAGGTGGAGGAAGGAGCCACATTCAAAACAAGCGGGTGGGAGCTGAGATTCCCCCGTCCAACATAGGGTACCAGGTGTGTGTGTGCTCTGTGGCTGGGGATGCCCGTTCTTTTCCTCTGCATATGCACCTTTTGTGATGCATCAAGTCACCTGCTCTTAAACTGCAAGCATTGCCATGTTTACCATTGCGCAGCTCCTCACATGCTCGTCTCTGAGCCGTGTCCGCCTGTCTCGCCATCATCGTTGTGTGCTTCTCTTCATCCTTGTGTGCTTTGCCCTGTCTCCTCTGCAGCTGCTTCAAAAGGCTGGCTGGCATCAGGGCCGCGGGCTGGGAGTTGCTGAACAGGTGCGTTCCCAGGAAATTGGCGGTTGTTGGTGAGCATATGCGTGTGCGTGACGGGGGGAGAAATAGTGGTGGATGGAGAAACAAGGGCCGTGTGACTGGAAGGGTTGGAAAGGGAGGGAGGAAGGGAAGGCTTTGGGTGGGGTTGATCAAACAAGCTGCAAGTAGAAGCACACTCCTATCTCTTGGTTACCAGACCTGTTGTTCTATCTTGCACCTCTCAGCGACCACCACACATCATCCTGGTTATGCATTCATATCTCATATCATTTGATTCCACAGGGTCGTCTCAATCCAGTCCCCCCGTCGCTCAAATTTGACAAGGTTGGTCTTGGCGGTCCCTCCTCTTCGCACGTCCCTTTCTCCTCGCGGCCTCAGTCAGCCCCCACTCTCTCTCACACAACCCCTCCTGCGGCCGGCCAGCCACACACTGCACAAGCTACAGCTGGTGTTGCTGGCTCAGGCTTCTCACGTGCCGTCACTGATGCTCTTGACAACGAGCTTGATGTTGGGGCTGGTGCTAGTGCTTCTGATGCTGATGGGGGAAAGAGTAGAAGTGCAAGGCGACGACAAAAGAAACAAAAGGCAGGGCAGCAAGCAGAGAAGGAGCAGATGCTGCAGCAGTGGCTGTATCGAGAGTTTTTTCCTGATAATTTGTAGATATGGTAAATTAGATGATGATTGTTTTTACCACGGGTCCATCTAGAGGTTCATGGGTAAGAGAAGGTTCAGGGAGACAGGGATGGGAAGTGAGTTTGAGTTTGTTCACTTCATGTTTATAAACTTGGACTAGTTCAACTTGTTAATCTGAAACTGCGCGTAGGATTTATTGTTGTTGCCGGAAGCACCAATAAAAACACAAGACCGCATGTTATTACGAACACCTGAGCCATTTGGGCACCTGACAACAGAGAGCCCACTATCTGCGCGTCGCGTAAATCTATTCCCCACGACACACGCCCTGAAACAGTTCTCTGTGCCTGATCAGCTGCTGACTAGGCTCGGACGATACAGCAAACGAAAACCGGCCACATCAGCTAGGCTACTCTGGTTAGGTTCCAAACGGACCTGCGTTTCAAAGCAAGTGTGAATGTTGTGGGGGTTACAGTATCACTGGGAGCGGCAGTGCGCCCAACACAGCTGGGATCTGCGCCGATTATCGCGGACAGATGGGCAGTGAAGCCAGCTACAGAAGCGGGCAAGTGCGTGCTGGCGACCGTCGCAACACAAGTGACGAAACTCGGAGGTTGGGATGGCGAAGGGTTGTGATCGAATTACGGTGCTTCGAAACTGAATTTTTGGGGACTCTACGCGCGTTTGTACGTTACAGTATGTTGATGCGCGGTTCTGGATTATAGATCTCGGTACCACACTACGCTAGGAAAAACTTTTTTTTTTAACCTCCAACACACATCCCCCCCCCCTGTTCGTTCCCCCACCTCCGCATGTCCTTACATCCCTTCCGCGCGGCCGAACGGGGAACGCGTTCTCCGCCAACAAGGCCTCCATTTTCCGCCCAATCCAACCTCAAGGTCCGCGCTGCTATTGTTGTGTTCCGTTCCGCTCCCTCCCTCAACACCACCCCCCAGCGCCTGCGCTGTAGCTGTGCTTCTGCGCCCCGTACGACCTTGGGCTCAATGCCTGCCCGCTGCTGTTGCTATGTCTCTTTCATCGCCACACCTGCGGCTTCACCACGACACAACCAAGTCCTGGAGCACAACCAAACCAGTGCAGAGCGCTGAGTCGCAGACCACCAAAAATGCTCGCCAGTTGTGCCTCCCCTTAGACCCACCTGGACTCGTCCACCAGTGCATTATCTCCTCGGCTCCATTTCTCCGTTCCCACCCGCTGCGGTCCCTTCGCAATAGCCAAAAATGCTTGAGTAATCTCGTTGTGTTGACCGTCTCATAATCCTTTGCCACGCTCACCCTCTCATAACCTTCCGCTCTCGCCTCCCGTCTGATTGCGGGCCCTCGTCTTCTCCCTCCTCACGCCGCGAGGAATGGCGCCGGGTCTTTTCCTGCGAGCCGCGCTCGCGTGTCTGTTCGCGACTGTTGGCGCGCTCGCAGGCCCGTCGAAATCATGCCCTAGCAAGATCAACGATTGCCCCGTTTGCCCTTCCGACTCCGTCGTTTCTTCTTCCTCCTCGTCCTCTTCCTCGGCCGTGTTCCAGCCCAAGAGCTCGGAGTTGCTGGGAGTTCTCAAGGGCAGTTTCGTCGCACACGCGTCGTTGACCAACAAGAAGTCGTCTGCGACGCTGCTGAACCCGTCGCAGAAGACGGCGGCGGTGACGATCAATCGGTGCTGCGTGTCGTGCAGCGAGCGCGAGGATTGCGCGTATTGGACGTGGAAGAAGAACAAGAAAAGCAACACAGGTAACTCACGCATAGCGTCACCCCGCCTTCTCCCCCCCCCCCAAACCTATTCCCCCTGCCTCCCCTCCCCTTTTCCTCCTCCTTCCCATCGCCCCACCCTCCCTTCCTTCCCTTCCCCTTCCCTTCTCCCCCCCCCCCCCCCCCCACCCCCCCCTACCCCCCTCCTTCCCCCCTCCTCCTTTCCTCCCTCCCCTCCCTCCTCTTCCCCCATCTCCCCCTCCGCCATCCGCCTCCTGCCTTCCGCTTCCCGCTTCCGGCCTTCCGCCTCCCGCCTTAAATCGCCCTCATTATCTTCCCCCATTGTCTAGGCGCCCCTCTCCGCCTGCTTTCCACCCGCGCCCACCGTATCGTCCATCTGTCTATGGCCCCTCACCTCACGTCTTACAGTCACTCCCGTCTGAAAACCTCTCCCCACCCCTTTCCAACCCCATCCCGTACCTTTCCCGCCTTCCTCCCCCACCCTTTTCGCCATTGCTACCGCGTTTCGCGCTGTCCCTTGCGGCCATTTCTACCTCAGGAATATGCAGTCTCTTCGGCGCTGACCAGTGCTCGACGCACAAGTCCCTCGCAAAGGTCAACAAGTGGCAGCCCGACACCAGTACCGGCGTTGTCTCCTTTAAGCGCTGCCTCGCTACAAGCTCCAGCTCCACCGGCGCCGGCAGCGCGTCTGCCGGTGAACCTCTCGCAGGGACCGACTCCACCGGTAGCGGGGACAGCAGCGCCAAAAGCGGCGGCAGCGTGAAGCGGTACAACACGACTTGCCCCGCGTTCCCGTGCCTGCCTGCCTGCCCGTCCGCCGTCGATCTTCCGGACATCACGGATTCGAAGGGCCCCGCGTTTCCCGGCGCATTTCGCGGGAAGCTGTACGAGCACTACTCGCAGGCGACGGGGCCGACTCTGGTGGAGGACGCGGGGCTGAAGAGTATCGGCGAGTGCTGCGAGTACGCCGCGTCGCAGTTCATGTACGACGTGACGTACTGGTCGTGGGAACAGAGCGACTCGACGGACTCCGGTGAGTTTAAAGACGTCCCTAGATTTGAGTAAGACGCGGAAGGTGGGGTGTGGAGGGGCAAGTGGGGGTCTGAGAGAGAGGGGGAGCAGGGGGGGGGGGGGGGGGAAGTGGCGAATGAATCTTTGTCAACCAGAATTGCATTGCGCCATGCTTACCGCCGAACCCGCGTATCGCTTCATGCTTCATGCAGAACCACCTAAACTTTCATTTCGTTACCTCTCTTCAGAGCCACCCAACTCTCTCTCCATGCTTGTACCTTTGTTCCCTCTCTCCTCGTTCCTCTCGCTCCCTGGATCCATTCCATCCCATCCTGCGTGTGTGTGTCTTGTTCTCCTCTCTCGCCTCTACCCCATCAGGCCCGCTGTCTGTACTCAACACCCTCACAACCCCACTCCTCCCTCACTCGTTCACCATCTTCTCTCCCATTCTCTTCTCTTTCCTCCCTCTCTTCCCAATCTTTCGCCTCTCCTCCCTCCCATCAGGTCGCTGTAAGCTCTTCAGCAGCCAGGCGTGTGCGAGTCAGAGGGACGAGTCGGGCAACCTACCGGTTCAAGTCTTTGATCCCACCTTCTCCACCACCTACGCCTTCCGTCTCATCTGCTGACCTTAGACACGTCTAAAAGGCCCCTCCTGCACCAACTTCTGACTTTTCTGCACTGTGTTGGGTGGGGCATGTACTGTTGGTTTATGGCATGGGTGGGTGGGGTGGGGTGGGGTGGGGAGAGGATGCTATCGGAACTGTTACTGTAGCTCCTAAGCTACAGGAGAGTAAATCTGTTGTACTGTTTTTGTGTATTGTTTGTATTGTAGTCTGGTTACACTGCTCATGGGCTTGTTGGATTATTACTGGCTGAAATACCATACGAAGTCCTTGAAAAATGATCTGTTTGAATCATAAGTGAAGAATATTCTACTGTACGCATGATGATCCTGCCTGCAGCCTGCTATTAAAAAAATCAGGAATTTCACTCCTATCCAGACCAGACAGACCCAATGCCACTGTGAATACAGTAACAGGAAATTGACACTAACTGCTATTGCTAGCATTTGGGGGTAGGTAGAGCCACACCCACTCATGCACTGCACAGGGAATGGATACAGCACTCCCTCTACCACACCAACATACGTTAGCAACTAACTACCACATAATGCCACTTGCGTTGGTACTGCTTCTTGCCCTCACTACCGTACTTGCCCCTGTTGCTAAGGGAAACCAAACCAGCAGCAAGGAAACTGCCCTCATTGCCCAGCTTGCACCCATCGCCAGCCAAACTCTTTATGGCCAACGGAATCTATCTTGTTTAACCAACCCTATTGAAACCAACATATTCCACACGTGTTTTACAGTTTTGAGATAGTACCGGTATCTCAAAACTCCCTAAAGCAAAAACGCTGTGAGTGCGTGACCCATAATGGGCAACGTCCCTTATTCTCACTGCGACCCTCTTCACTCCTGCAGTACCCTACCCCACCTACACTCAACAAGCCACCAGCACCAACAACCCACTCCCACACTTCACCCCTCACCCCGCACAATCACCGAACGCCCCACACAAATGCCCCCTTCCCCACGCGCGGTTCTGCAATGCACAGGCACTCCCTTGGTCTGCGCCACACCCTCCCCCTGACACCCTCCCCCTGACACCCCTCCGCCTGACACCCCTCCCCTCCTCCCCCTGACAGCCCTCACGTGCCCAAGTGTGAAAAGTCATCCCAGAACCTTTTCCCCCATCCCCATCTCCCCCCACTTGCAGCGTCCTCCTCGTCCCCTGGCCACCAAAAGAGCTCCAAGCACCAGACCCTCAACCTCACATGCAGTACTGCCGGTATCTTGCACTGCCGTGCCTGTCGCCCAACCCCACAGCAGAAGCTCACACCACACCAGCCCCCTCCCTGCAGTGCCCCCTACCCCACTTGTGCCTGTTTGACAGCTCCCAGCAGCAGCACACAGCTCACGTGGCCTTGGCCGTGCCCCGTGCGGCCGTGCCACCTCCTCGCACAACAACGCAGAAAGCTCCAAGTAGCGCATGTCCATGCTCACGCCCACGCAACCCCAGCCACTGCAGCATCAGTGCCCCACTGCTGTCAACCCTGCTGCTCCCAGCCCCTCCCAGCCCCTCCCAGCCCCTCCCAGCAGCTCCCAGCAGCTCCCACCCAGCATGGCAAAGCACAGCACAACAGCGCACAGCTCACTTGGCCTTGGCCACGCCCCGTGACGCATCAGTGCCCCACTGCTGTCAGCCCTGCTGCTCCAAGCCGCTCCCACCAGCCCCCACCAGCCCTCACCAGCTCCCACCAGCTCACTTTGCCTTGGCCACGCCCCGTGCAGCCTCCTCCCTTGACGACGCAAAGAGCTCCACGTAGCGCGTGCCCATGCGCGAGCGGTCGCGCCCCATGGCCGCTGCTGCATCGCCCGGCGACGCAAACTCCGCAAAGGCCTCGCCTGTGCTGCGGCCATCCGCCCCCACTACTATATGCACACTGGACTCGGACAGAGGGAAGCCGTCGAAGAATGCCACTATGTCCTGATTGGGGGAGGAAGGGCGGAAGGGGAGGAGGGGAGAGAAAGAGGAAGAGAGTGAGGGAGAGGGCAGGGGAGAGGAAAGGCAAAGGCCTCCCCTGTGCTGTGACCGTTTGCCCCCACGACTATGTGCACACTGGACTCGGACAGAGGGAAGCCGTCAGAGAATGCCACTATGTCCTGATTGGGGGAGGGGAGGGGGAGGTGGGAAGGAGGGGCGAAAGAGTGGGGATAGGGGCGGGGGAGTGAGGTAGGGCAAGTGGGGGAGAGGAGGTGGGTGGAAGAGGTGGAGAGAGAGGAGGGGAGGGAGGAACGAGAGAAGGAGAAAAGGGTGGAGAGACACAAGCCGAATGCAATCTAATTAGAATTCTACAAAAAATATTATTCACGAGTCACAAGCAGCAGCTACCACACCAACCCCAACCCCTCCCCCCCTTCCCCCTTCTCCCCCAGTTGCCATTCTTTCCACCCCCCCCCCCCCCCCCCACCTGTTTAGTGGCGGAGTAGGGAATGCCGCGCAGCTTGAGCACGCCTGTGTGCTCCACTGCCGGATGCCCGTCCATGCCCCCGCCCCCCCCCTCCCCATACCCGCGGTACGGCCTTCCCCCCCCCATGCGCCCCGCCCCTTGATGCCCTTGGGTTTCTGCAGGAGGAGGGGGAGGGACGAGCGCGGGACGGGAGAGTGGGGGAAAGAAGGGCATAGAGTGGATTAGGTGGGGAGGGGAGGGAAGGGAGGGTGTGTGATGCGAGGGAGGAGAAGTGGGTGTGGATGAGAAAACAGGAGGATTCTCAACTCAAAGACAGCAATGACGGAATCACGCCACTTCACATCAGAGGAGTCATTGGCTCTAAGACGTATGGCGGCTGTGCTGCCCTGCGCGCACCTGCCCCCTTGCCCTGCGCGCACCTGGCCCCTTGTACTGTCCGCCGTCCTGAGCGACCTCGTTGGCGACGGCGTTGTAGTAATCGGCGCGCTTGCACCGGAAGATCTCCACGTACCGCCGCCCCATGCTCATGCGGTTGCGCTGCAACGGACGGATGCGCGGGATGTGCGGGGGAAGCGGGATGCGCGGGATGCGCGGGAAGCGGGGGATGAGAGGGATGCGCGGATTGAGAATCTCCCTTGCAGCGAGATCGTTCCCGAAGACGACCAGACCTGCCTAGTATTCGCTGCGGCTATTATCCGCGCCCCGCCACCCGCGATCCCGCCCTCCGCTACCCCGAACCCCCCCCGATCTGCAGCGAGAGCTCGGCCTGGATGGCGTTGCTGAAGACAACAAGACCTGCCTAGTATCCACGCTACGGCTACACCCGTTACCCGTCACCCGCGTTCCCCCGCGGACCTGCAGCGAGAGCTCAGCCTGGATGGCGTTGCCGAAGACGACGAGCGCCTCGCCGGAGAATTTAGAGTCGCGGCGCAGGAAGAGCACGTCGACGACGTCGAGCCCCGCGAAGAACTCCGCCACGTCGCCCTCCTCGCAGCTGAACGGCAGCCCGCGCAGCTTCACCACCGGCAGCGCGCGCGGTCCTCCGCCCATGTGCATCCCGCCACCGCCCGGACCCCCGCGCGGCATTCCGCCGCCACCGGGGTACCCCATGGCGCCCCCCATGCCGCCCCCCATGCCCATCATCATGCCCGCTCCCCCGGGCCTGCGCGGATCGGGCGGGGAGAGGCGGATAAAGGGGAAGCAGGGTTAGGGTTTGCGGCGCGGGGGAGGGGTTTGGGGGGACAAGCGGGTTGAGAAGCATCGGGCGAAAGGAGTGTAAGGAAGACACTGAGACGGAGGGAAAAACGTAAATGTATTGATCGCGATTAAGGAGGCGGTGCTCGAACTCGCCGCATGGCGCCACGGACCTGTGCTTAACTCCCTCGACTCACCCGCCGGAGCTGTACATTGTTGTTGTACAGGCGGCCGCGCGCTGATCACAGCCGTCCGATCAAGATGCTGTGTGCCAAACGAGCTTCACTGTTCAAGCCTCTAGCCACGTCAGGCCGCGCCAGGCGGGCAGCGCCAGGAAGGCGGCGTCAAAGGGGATGTCAGAGCTAAACGGCGATAACCTCTAGGGTTAACGGGTGACCGATTTGTCGCCGTCAGCTCGTCGAGTCACGGCGACTATCTGGCGATTCGCGCGTGCGGTTCTCGAACGAAGTGTGGTAGTTACTATCGCATCCGTTCTCCTAGCCAATACTAGGCACAAAGCACGCAAGTGAATATAGAGTGCTGCATATTAGTTGGGATCTCATGTTCTACAGAAGTCTCCAGTTGAATTCAGCAACAAAACAATATCTCGTACCATTAAATGATTACCAGTACAGAACAATGAAACGCACTCTGGCAGAAACCCAATCAGTCTAAAAAAACAGAACGCCACAAAGTTATAAAAAACAGAGAACTCAGCCACAAGGAGTGAGCTTGCTATTTCCCCACCCGCGCCGATGGTCATCAGTGTAATCATCCCACTTCCTTGCCTTATCCACATCCTCCTCATCATCCAAATACCTCCCACCCATCCGCCTCTCCTCCTCCTCCTCATCCACCTCATCCTCCCCATCTTCTCCCTTCCCCTGCCCCTTCCCATCATCCTCCCTCACAATCATACCCTGCTCCTCCATCTCCTTCCGTGTCCGCTCCTTCCAAGCAGCCATCATCGCCATCTCCCTCTCCCCCGCCTCCTCAATACTCATCCTCGCAACGCTATGGCTCGGCTGAAACACCCGCAGCGAAGCCAGAGGGTCCCGAGCAGCAGCAGAGCCACTACCAGACATACTCCCCGTAATCCCCCCCAGCACACTCCCACTCCCCGGCCCCCGTTTAGCAGCCGCGCTCATGAGGCTCATAGGGCCGAAAACCATGGGTGCGGTGTGGCGGTGGTTGGCTATCTCCTCACGGGGCACACGGCCTTCGATCACGTCTTGCGCGAGAGTGGCGCAGGCAATGGCTTGCGGGGGGACTAGCTGCCTGCCGCCTGCAGCAGCAGCGGCGGCTGCAGCAGCAGCAGCGCGGTGGGAGCCCTCTCTCTTGCGCAGGCGGTCGTCCAGTGCCTCTGGTGCAAAGGGGTTGGCGGTTGTTCCAGAGCGGTCCGACTGGGTGGGTGAAGCAGGAGAGGAGAGGTAGGGGTTGGGGAGCGAACGGAGATAGCAGGAAGCTGTTCACAGGCAGAGGGATGTGAAAGAATGTATACTCTTACATCGCAGAATCACAAGGGGAAATTCACTTGGGAATGGTCAACAAGAGTTGGTGCATGCAGGGTTGCAAGGAAACCAATCAATACTAGCACGAGAGAGGAGAGGAGAGGAGAGGAGAGGGGCGGCTTGATTCTCGACTCTAGACCAACCTGGAATTTGTAATCAGCAGAAGCCGCCTCATGCAGCATTTGTCTCTCACGAGCGAGTGAGTCCACAAGATCCATTGCCTGCAGCACACACGCATGGAGGCCAGACGCAGTGAGAGGACGTGGTGAGCATGCAGCACAGTGAATGAGAGCGAGCGCAGAGGTTTTAACCTGCCAAAGCTAGAAGCTGCAAAAATGGGAGAAGCTAGAAGCTAAATTCTGGGAAAGGAAAAAGCCCCCAGACGGCGAGAACACCTGCAGTGCTCTTCACTGGGCAAGCAACGCACCTTCACAATGGCAAGCCGCAGCGCCAGCATCCATGCCTGCATGCAGTGCAGGGACAGAGGTGGACGGAGTGGGTTGGAGATAAAAGGCAGTTCAAGCTGTGCATGAAAATGAAAAGAGTTAGAGGACTGAAAGAGGTTACAGACCAACGAAGAACAGAACTCATGAATATGGCGACACACGGAGCACACTCCCCCCTGCCTGCAGGCTCACCTCCCTCTCATCAACCTCGTCATCATCATCGTCATCCTCCAGGCCACTCCCCACAGCAGCACCGTCCGCACTCGCGTCCTCCCCTGCGTCTGCCTGTGCGCCCGCCCCCGGGCGTGCCTTGCGCACGCGCTGCTGCCGCTCCGCCTTGCGCCGCCGAATGGCCTCCAGCCGCCCCTTCAGCTCGCGCTCGCGCTTGAATCGCTGCACCTGCTCTCACCACAAGGAAAGAGGGGAGAGAGGTTTGCGAGAGGACGAGAAGGAAGAGGGGAAGAGGGAGAGGGCAGGGGGGGGGGGAATGGGTTAGAGGCAGCGAGGGGGACGTGGAGGGAGCACCGAGGCGGGGAGGGGAAGAGGGGAGGGGGAGAGGGAGAGTGAGAACGAGACGGGAGGAAGGAGAACAGGGAAAGAACGGAAAGAAGAAGATAGGAGAAAAACCAAGGACAGGAGAAAATGAGAGAAAGATGTTACCTTGAGCGCCCTCTTGGCGGTAGCGTCCAGATCCTTCACCTCTGAACCATTGCCATTGCCATTGCCATTCCCATTCCCACCACTGCCTGCTGTAGAGGCTGCGAGGGCGTGTGCACGCACCACGTCCGACCGCTCTGACTCCAGTGGCACTCGCAGGCGATCCATGGAGTCAAGAAATGACTGCCCGTGCCAATGCCCGGGGGTGGGGATGACACCAAAAGGAGCAGGAAGCGGGGGGGTTTGGGGAGGGAGAAGGGGGAAGGGGGAAGGGGGAAGGGGGAAGAGTACCGGTGTAAGCAAGAGCCCGAGTTCAGGTAGGTGAACAGGGTGTGCAGGAAGAGGCAAGGAATGGGAGATATGGAAACCAAAAATGTGTGACGTGGAGACATAGGGAGGAGAAGAGGGACTGACGGGAATTTATGGAGATGAAACGGGCAGGGAGATACTAACAAAGTGCTGACAAGGAAGGGGAGTGGAGAGTGGTAGGGCAGAAAGAAAGGGAAGGTGGCGTGGGGAGTGGTATGGCGAACTGACAGCAAGGTGTTGGAGAGAGGAGCGGAGAGCGGCGGTGCGTGCAGAGGCGATGGCCACTGGGGATGCGGAGGGGCGCATGGTGGAAGAACCGGGGCCGGCTGCAGCGGCAGCGGCAGCCGATGGCGCGGGTGCGGTCGGAAATGCGGGGACGCGCTGCAGTAAATCCGCGTGCAGCCATGGCACCTGCGGGAACGGGGAGGACGGATGGGAACCCGGAATAAGAGGAAAGACGAACATGGAAGGGAGGGAAGAAGCAGGGGAGGCACGAGTAGAGAACGGAAAGAACGGAAAGAACGGAAAGAACGGAGAGAGTGGAGCAGGCCTGGACAGGAGACTCGTTGGACACGGCCGTAAGCGGTTCGACCTTGCGCCTGAACGCTTGAAAGCTAGACTAGGGCTTCTGGATTTAAAACAGAGAGCTACGACAGGGGTTTGTTTAGCATATCGAGAGGCAAACTTCAACGATGAGTGCCGCGTCAAAAACCTGCAGTGCCACAATGAATCCAATCAATCTCATAAGTCAGCAGATCAGCAGATCAACAGATCCAGAGATTTCATGACAGGACGTAGCAGGAGAAATTAATGTCGTACCAGGAGGTATTTAATGTCTCCGGTGGCGACGTCGTCGATCTCCTCATTGGACGAGAAGAGAGCGAGATGCCGGATGCGCGAGGTGCATTCCGCCAGGTACTTTATCGCGACCTCCAATTCATCCTGTCTCCGCGCAATCAACGGCGCCGAGAATGGCGGGAGGCAAAAATAGCACAAAATTATTCTCAGTCAGAACAAAAGCGCGAGAAGAAACGCTAAACAAACACAAAGTATCGTGGATAGGACGACCGTTGTTTGGTACAGAAAGGCAGCTTCGAAAACGGAGGAAGCACATGAGCATACCGGTGGAACTGTCTCCGAATCGGCTCTAGAGTGAGCATCGTAAGCCTTGTCGAAGAGAGCGGGGAGCGAAAGACCGTCGAGCAGAAGCTCTTGCGACGACGTGGTCGAGTCGGCTGGCTGATCCGTTGAAACGTCCGTCATCGCGAAATTTAAGACGTAAAATACTATTCAGTCGAGGAGCGCGCCGACCTAACACGGAACGATGGCGGTTTTATCAATATAGGAGGGCAAGCTGAAGCTAATAAGAGCATGTACAAGTGCGGAATGAAGTAGACGTATGCGGTATGAAGTCTGACGGCACAGAGAGGGATTGGTTTGACAGGCTTTATAGAACTTCACTACCGTAGATTCCGTGGAAGCATCTTCTCTTCTACGCCTCGCACATTCCACAAGCTCCTAGATGGACCCTTCCGTGATCGGTGGTACTGTACAGTTTTCTCCGCTGTAGAAGACTCTGCAAAGGATTGAAGCTTATGTAAGGTCTGCACTTTAAGAACCAAACCTCAACATAGAAGGTCCTGGTGGAATTCTTAGACATACACACGATAATTGCTATTGCGAGTGAGTGAAGGTGCCCTATAATTTTGAATTATGCACACTGCCAGCACATGTTCCTCGGGAAGAGAATCCACTACCAAGTAATGCACATTCCTATACAAGGCAACACATGGTCTGCTTCTATTCCTAGGCAAGCCATATCTACAAGGATTCAGGCTCAACAAAAGCCAGTCTGGGGCAGCACAGATTCCGGAGTGCCAGCATGTCATCTCGAGGGCCAATGAGGAGTGAGGTACTGCAGCAGCAGGTGGTGATGACCGGGATTGTTCATGGAAGGGGTTGCAGGGGAAGCCGCAGTTGGAGGTTTAGGGAAAAGGGGGGAGGGACAGAGGGGAACGATGGTTATGCAGTGTGGAAGGAGGAATGTTACGACACGAGCGAGGTGGGAGAGATGAAGCGATTTAACCAGGAAACAAGAGGTTGCTGAGCGATTATGCATGCCAACCATTGGCATTGGGCGAGCATGGGATAACTACAGCATGGATGGCACGGCAAGGCATGGCACGGTATGACACGTGGTGGGAGCAGTAGGCGCAAGGGCAAGCAGCAGGAGGGGGAGTCGCATCACATCAGAGCGTGGGGAAGTCTTGCAGGCCCCCCCATCGGGGGTCGACGACCTCGAGAGTGGTGAAGACGAGGCGCATTCTGTCCGCCACCACCGCTGCTGGCTCCGCCACCCCCGCCACCGCCATCTGCTCCATCTGCAGCCGCCCCACCGAGTACCTGATGGGGGGTGGCGAGGGTGTGTGGGAGAGGGGGGATGTGAAAGGGGGGAATTAAAAGCCTAATCATAGGTCAACCACTACACTATAGCCATCTGCTCCATCTGCAGCCGACCCACTGAGTCCCTGGTGGTGGGGGATGAGGGTGGGTGAGAAGGTGGGATGGGGGCATGTCGGTGACAGCACACCAGGCGGTAATGCCATGTCTTGGCGTTTGTTATGTCCGCCACTGCCATCTGCTTCATCAGTGAGTACCTGGTGGTGGGGGTTGGCGACAGTAGGTGATGCGGCTGTGTGGAGGGGTGGCCATTGAGATAGCTCAAAGGTCATCCGCCCCTGCCATTTGCTCCATCTGTACCTGACTTAGGGGGTACCTGGTGGTGTGTAATGAGGGTGTGTGGGAGAGACGGATGTGGGGAAGTGATAGAACACGCACAGTACTGTGATGTGAATCTGGGATTGCTATGGCACGGGCGACTCTGGGAGTTGCCACGCCCACCACGCTGCTGTCAACTGCTCCATCTGCTGCCAAAACTCGGGGTACCAGACGTCCATGCGAGGGGATCGGATGTGGTGAGGGAGGGGGGAAAGGGACTCTGTGCTGGAAGCAGAGTGAACAACTGGGGAAGCGGACGTGGATGGAGGATAAAGCAGTCGCACTGAACACGCCACGTGAGCGAGCAGAGAGCAGAAGAGAGGACGGTCAATAAATGTGAGAAGGAGAAGTGGTTGACAGCAACAGCACTGACCAGGCCATGCCCTGTGTGTAGTAAGCGTTGGCAATGAGCGAGCAGAAGCCCTTCCACTGCACGTGCGAATCGGGTGACGCTGCCTTGGACATGGCCCACCGCGTCACCACAGGCTGCGGTAGCACCGCTATCGTGACAAACACTATCGCCACCCACAGCACACACTCCTGCACCTGATGCACCGGAGCAGATGGGGAGCGGGTTGGGGGGAAGAGGCGGGGTGGGAGCAGGAAAGGAAAATGGGAGGGAGAACAGGAACGTCAGGGGAGGGAGATTGAGCAGCAAGCAGGGGGGAGAGATGAGCATATAGAGAAGGAAAATGTGGAGGTGAAGGGTGTGAGAAAGAAGCAAGCAGCAGAGGGAAGGGTGAATGGGTGACCATGCGCATTTGCCACTACGGTTGTTCAGAGCATCCGGTACGGTATTTCAATGCTGAGCTTTGATTGACCACTCAAGAACCTCGTGATTCTCCCAGACACTTGAGCTCCTCTTACACGCGGCTTACCTCATGCCGTGATTCTGCGGAAACATCTGCTGCGGATGGCACAGACGAGGGAAATGACAAGGACGACAATGACAAGTCCTTTTCCTCTGCAGCGCTTGCTTCTGTGTCCATTACTGATGCTGCTGCTCCCGTTTCTGTTGCTATTTCAGATACTGCTGCTCCTTCGGTTGCTGCTGCTGTTGAGGGAGGATCGGGGGGTTGTACGGAGAGCAGTGCAGTGAGCTCCCGCCGTAGCCCCTCCTCCGTGCACCCCACTGCATACGCCGCCACTGCTGCTCGCGCGAACTCCTGTAGGGGGAGACGGGTGCGCAGGGGTTGGGCGGGATGATGCGGGGAAGGACGAGGGAGAGAGATGGGAGAGAAGGGAGAGGAGGAAGGGAGGGGAAGCGAAGGGAAGGGAAGGGAGGGGAAGAGAAGGGAAGGGGAGGGAAGGGAAGGGAAGGTAAAGGGAAGGGAAGGTAAAGGGAAGGGAAGTGCAGTTGATGGTATACAGCCACTGCCTTGTGAGATTGCTGCAGTTCAGTTTCTTGAACGGTTTGACTCGTTGCATAACTCTTCATTTCTTATGATAGAGTTGACTGGCTTCTTTTCATTAGTTGACGTTGGTTGGCTCGTTCCCCTCCGTAAACGTCAACGTTGACGTTGACGACTGATTCACCTTAAGGTGGTCGCGGTAGCCGCTGTCAACGACGGCGCGGTAGCGGCGGTGCAGCCCTGCAGCTATGGAGCGAGGCGACGACACGTCATCGCTCCCGTCGTCGCTATCTTGCAGCGAGAGAGGCGCGGAGGAGGACGGCGAGGAGGAGGAGGGGGTGGGAGAGGAAGAAGAAGAGGAGGAAGAGGAGGAGGAAGAGGAGGAGGGTGTGGCGTGTGCTCGCCACGTGGGTCTCTGATGAGCAGTTTAGGGGGGATTTGGAGAAATGGGGGAAAAACGAGGGAGGGGAGAAAGGGGGAAGGGTAAGATGAGGGAGATGTGGGGAGGAGCGAGAGCGAAGAGGTGAGGCGTTGAGAGGAAGGGGAGTGGGGAAAGGAGTGAATGTAGGATGTGAAACGGAAACAAGGTTCTCGATGCATTGACGCATGCACGCATGAAATGCATATGATCATAGTCGTGTGATAGATTTAAATCTTTTAAAGTGCTATAGTCATGGTAAGGGAAGCTGAGAGGGGGAATGAGACATCCCGCACGCTCGCGTCGTCCCTTGTAGCCGCAAATGCTGCTAGTATAAAATGGAAGTAGTAGATCGGGGGGATACGAGCAACTCACATTGACGCGTCTCACTCGCGCACGGCTCCGCAGCACGGCTGCCTCGCGGATGACGTGGCGTTGCGACGTTTCCCCGCTCCACGTGGCGGACAGCGAGCCCGGGCGGCAGTTGCAGGAGGATGTTGACGTTCTGAGAGGTGACGCATGGAAAGACCCAATGACTGTCGATAGGCTCGATGACAGCCGGAGTGCCATTGCGTCACGGTCCAAGAACGGGATCCTAATGCGCGTGTAGCAGGCTTGACTCGCTTGCAACGGCGGGGAGGAGGCGGTGTGCGTTACGGATGATGGAGCGGTCAGATGGTGATGCGGTCAGCCGCGAGAGACGTTTAGGAAAGGAACAGCGCAGAAACTAAACACACCACATTTAACCATTGAGAATGATAACACGGTATATACTAAATCGACTCATGGAACAACAGGACAGGCGAATATCAGACTAGAAGAAGCTGGAACAATGTCCCAGGCTGGCAGAGCAAGAGGACCACATGGGGTGAAGTTGGTGGAATGTGGAATCTGGTATCGTGGGTTGGAGAAACAAGCAGATTCAAATATCGTGAAATTTTCGTACCGAAGGTGACCGTAGCGGGGAGGCAGCTGATACTTTGTCGGTCAGGGTGACGTGTATCGACTGGCGATATTGCTGTACCCTTGTCCAGCTGACAAGTGTGATGCCAGGAGTCACGTGCCATGCATCGCGCCTTCCATTCGTGTATGATATGTTCCCGCCTGTGGACAGCCAATCGTCTTGCGATTGTTCATACTTCCTACAATCGGCTGAGCAGCACTCGTAAAATATCTACCAGCTCGCATACTGTAAGGAAAATCCCTTTTCCTTACTTCGCATCCCTACTCATCGCGTACATCACTGTAGCACCTCAGTCAGCACCGTTACCACTCGCGACCATCGCATCAACAATCATCCCGCCACTTTCGCACATCGCATCCCGACCTCACGGCTCGGCGGGTAACCCGCGCTCCGGGCCTACGCTTCGACATATTTCCCAACCTCAGTCCCAGGCTCGTCGCGCGACAACCACAGTCCATTACCGTTACCACTGTAGTTTCGCTATATATTCTTCGCTCATGCCTTCGCTCATTGTACTCTTGCTTCGATAGTGCAATTCTCGTTCGTTCACTCAATTGCACTCGTAACACATACCGTAATTGCTGGACGCTTATTGAAAGCAAATGCAATAACAAAACTGCACTACCGATTGGGCCCAAATACAGAGAAACAGAGAATGAATCCATCATATAACGCATGCCCAGCAAACCAAACCTCAACGAGAACCGCTTGCCCTTATCGCCACGCTATAATTCAACCACATCTCCAACTGATGACCGGTCAAATGCACCCCCTGCTCTGCTTCCCCCAGGCCTTTGCATCGGTGACCCTGCCGCATGCAAGTGTAGCGTGGATGTGGGGGGTGGCAGCACCGAGGGAGCAAACACAATGCCCGGTGAGTGGCTGGTAGTGAAGTGAGCAGCAGAGGCAGACGGCCTAACTGCAGGCACGTGAGAGTGAGCAGAGCTTCTGGTCGACCCTGCCGTTGCTGCTGCTGCAGCTGCTGCCACAGCGGCCATAGGAGCAGGAGCAGACGCCACAGGGAGACTATGATGTAAAGCGGGACCAGCAGCGGCAGCAGCAGCAGGGGGTGTACGGGTCACCGCAACCTGAACAGGAACTGCCTTCACAGGCGCTGGGAGCGCAGCAGCAGCGGCAGCAGCAGACCTGCGTGCTGCTGCAGAGGCGGAGGAGGAAGAGGAGGAGGAGAGGGAGGAGAGGGAGCGGTGGATGGCGAGGACGAGGGAGCGCGAGGTGAAGGAGACCTGCTCCTTGATCATGAGCATGAGCGCGGACGACAGCACTGTCTTGAGAATCTGCGCCTGTATGCCCTTGAAGAACCCCGGCAGTCCCTCCGTCTGCCATATGACTCGCATCGCCTGGGAGGGAGAGAAGCAGGAGAGAGAAAGGACATGGGGGGTTTGTAGGAATGAAGAGGAGAGTGGTGTTGGGTGATTGGTAAGATGCTGGATGTGTGGCGTGACAGGCGGATTGCTTGATTGAAAGAGAAGAATCGAAAGGTACGGTGCTGTATTGTGCTGTCATGACATCCTGGGCAGGAAAGACGGATTGCTTATCTCATGCGCACTCCACCTTGCTTCACCATCTCAGTGCCAGATTCTGCCATATTCTGTCACCGAGCGCCATATTCTGTCACCGAGCGCAGTGGGAAGAGGAAACGGAATGCGGTGACATACCAGGGCCATGGACTTTGGAGGGCCAGCCGTGAGGTCTCCTGCTGCCCGGCGCTGCTTCTCCTCCTCCGTCTCTGCCCGCTGCATCATCACCTTGCACCTGATGCGGGTAAGATTCACCACACATATAAACATAGTACATACGCATGCATGTATAGACGTCCACACACACACATTGGAGCAATCGGGTGAGATTACATATGAGGGGAATGAATGAGGGCTCAGGCAGGATTGCAGAGAGTGTGGAATCAAACGTAACGAGCATTGGCTGGCATGGGATGGCAGGGAATGGCTTGCCTAACATCCCTGCCACATCACGCACACTCCTCCCCTTCCTTGCCGAACCGTCCTGCCTCTCTGAACCTTCATCCTGGCAATGTGATCATAAGGTGAGCACGAGATGTCACAGGGACTGGAGGGCATGGGCGGGAACAGGAAGGCATGGGATGGTACCTGATGGCAGGGTATGTGGCGATGGTGGCGATGGTCTTGGAGAGCGCGCCGATGATGAACGCTGCCGCTGCTGACAGGACTGGCGGCGGACCACAGGTGTCCGCTGTCGCTGCGAGCGTGGCGTTTCGGCGCAGCCAGCGCGTCTTGATCTGCTCGAACATGGTGTACTGCCGTGGGCAGGCCCAGGGAGGAGGAGCGAGGGGTGGGGGGCGAGAGGCAGAGGACAAAGAAAAAGACAATGCCAGAAAGGTGAGACATGCGCCAGGTCGAGCAATCAGCAGGGAACAGTAGTGTAGCCATGCACCTTAAACTAAGCTGGCCTTGTTCCACATGAACTGTAAGGTGCTTCAGTAAAGCAGGCATTCAGTCACATAATCTGTAAGGCCTGCTTGCATGACTCGCATCAACTATCACTCGCATCACCACTCACTGATCTAGCGTCTCTCGACTCCCCGGTACTTCTTCCGCTCCCACTCCCGCCGCTCCCACCCATGCTCCCGCTCCCCACGCGCTCCCCACCCGCTCCCACTCGCACTCCCCATCCCCCCTGGATACCTGGATGGCGGGGTTGGAGACGAGCAGCAGCGACACGCCGAGCCCGTCAAATGCGTGCGCGAGCCCGCCCTCGCGCAGCATCTGCACGAACCCCTTGCCCTCGCCCGGCCGACTCGTCTGCATGCGCGCCGATAGTGTGTCCCACGGCTGTTGCACGGGCGCACATAACGAGAGAGAAAGCGAAGGGATCGGGGGGAGGGGGGGAGGGGGGAGAGGGGAGAAGATCAGGGAAATGACAAGGCAACGAGGCTGATTCTTGGGAATCAGTTGGGGAGGGGAGGGAAAGGGAGAGGCGAGTGGATGAGATCTGGAAGCGGAAGTATAAGGAGGTGAACCGGTGACGAGATGAGGATGTGAGGAGATGAGAAGGTCGCGTCCGGGGAAACTGGGTCACGAAAGGCGATCATACAGTGCTCGAAAAGGATGGAGGAGAGAGGGAAAGAGGATAGGAGCATCGCGGCATGACGACAAAACCCCGACTCGACGCACCTGCGTCACGACGGCGGTGCACGCGCCGGCGGAGGCGGCGACGGCGAGATTGGCGAGCAGGCCGAGGTTCTTCTGGTGCGCGGAGGCGAGGTAGCGCGTCTTGAAGAAGGAGTAGGCGTAGAAGTAGACGAAGCCCGTGAGCACCGACTGCATGTTCTTCGTCGCCAGCCCCGCGTATAGAGACGATATGTCCCCGCTCGCCACTGCCTCGCGCAGCACGTCCGCGATGTTGCTGCGCCGATGCGCGCGCACGGGCGGAGGGGGGTGGAGGGGGGAGAGGGGATACGGGGAGAGGGGACAGTTTGGGGAGGGTAGACCAGAGGGGGTTGGAGATGGGGAGGGAGGAGAAGGGGGAGGGAAGAGGGGGAAGGAAGAGGGGGGGGAGGAGACGGCAACAAAAAGTTTGGAGATTAGAGGGGAATGACGGAATGTGCATGGGCGAAACGGTGAGAATGACGAAAATGTGTGATCCGAGGGACTTGGCTGGGTTGGCAACGGAGAGCAGCAGGAAGAGCACGCGGAGAACACTGAGAACACTTGAAGACGGCGCAAGGGACTTCTGCTGCAGAAACGCTCTAGAAATTAATCGAAGGAGCAAGACCGTGAAGCAGTTGACGCCTACCGCTTGCTCACCTATATCGTTTTCGTCCATCTGAAGCCGCCTCCGCTTGAAATCTCGTTTTACACGTGTCAAGCGGGTATAGGATAGTGGTGCTCAGCAGGCCACCCACTGCACCGGCCGTTGCCTCGGTCAGCGCGCGCAGCGAGGGATCGTCCATGACCATGATGACTGCGTATAGTTGAGCAGGAACAAGGATAATACAGGACTCGTGACGGACGAGCTGACTTCAAACTGACACCAGTTTGATAGCAAATCCTGTCTGACAGCAAATCCTGCAGTCCCTAAGAGCAGGAGAAAATGAGGAGGCAGATGCGGGATTCAAGCAGGATCGTTGGTTGTCGCATTAGAATCTAAGGCCAGTCCACCACGCATATAAACTTCAGAGTAAGCATCATGCTGCTTTCGAGAGGCAAGCAAGGCAGGAGGGAGGGAGCAGAGCGAAAATCCAGCTTGCTCTGGTCGTCGGCCGGGCTGGGTGGTTGGGTGTACCGCGCGTGTGCCGCGCCTATTCCGTACCACGCCAAACATTGTGCCTCGGGATTCGCTCCGCGGTTTGTCGCACCTCTCCCTGGGAGCGTCAAACTTATAAGGTTCGTGATGTTCCACACCAACTCCGTGCTCCGGTCACACCCTTGGGAATGTCAAAACGTGGTGCTAGGTTCCGCAAACTGGCTGAACAGCTTCGGTGTTTAGGCTGGGTTTGACTTGATCACATAGACGACGAATGCAGTTGCCAAATGAGTACTGTAGTCGGGTCAGACTGGCCCTTCTCGGCAAACTAAACTGGCCGAGCCTGGGTTACCAGCTTGTCTTTGATTAGCCTCGGCATGACGTGTTGCACCGCACAGAGTCGCTGGTGTGTCAAGAGGCCAATACACGTAAGTGCTGCCCACATCAGGCTGACCTGGACCAACGGGTCACGGTGGCTGGAAAAGTTCTGGCGAGAAAGCATTACGGCGAAACTGCGTGACCGAGATGTGTCCCACCTTCCACAAATGCATGACCGACACAATTCACCCCATTCCTTGACAGCTTTCAAAATTAACACGAATAGCGTGACCGTATAAAAAGGTGTACAGCAGCACTTGTATGATAGTACGACCATAACGAATAACCAGCATTCCGAGTCTAGGAGCGAGTGCTTTCTCCTTCCTACTCCTGGCCCTGGGCTGAGAACAAATTTACAGATCACTCCCAAAATCGTAGATAACTCGGTCGCGATTGTGGACGGCATGAAGGCATTCGCTCAGACGCTGGAGCTGAAGGACGACCCGGCGCTTATTGCTGAGTACCTTGAGTATCACAAGCGCGTATGGCCCGAGGCAAGGTCCCATTTTTCGGCGAACCTGCAATGAGCGTCCCATGCACTAGCGCAGCAATGGCTAAAAAATTTTCCTACAGCACCACATTGTGTTCCCTTTCGTCGGCTGCGTTCAGGTGCTGTCGGCGATCCAGGCTATGGGCATCACTACCATGCGCATCTTCGTTCACGGTAACCGACTGTTCATGTACGCAGAGGCGCCGGATGACTTCGACGCTGCCAGAGACTATCAGAAATACACTGCAAGGTAAGCAGTGCTGGGGTACTGTTGCCCGATTGCTGCAAGGTACGCTGCTATGGACTATCAGAAATACACTACATGTCAGGAACTGCTAGGGACTGCGCATTATAGCCTGGATGAAAACAAGACAGGACGCTTAGGAAGGGTACTGGGATTTAAAGGAATGAATGGTTAAGATCCACGTCAAATGGCGACGCCTGCACTATGCTCACCCCTTTCCTTGCAGTGCGCGTGCTCGTGAGTGGGACGAGCTGATGAGGAAGTACCAGCAGCGGGTGCCAGCAGCGTCGTCAGACCTAGACGAGTGGTGGTCGCCCATGAACCTTTGCTTTGACCTTTCAGAACAGCTGCAGGAGAGTACTACATCCAGTCCAAGCCCTACGCGGAATCCATAGGCGTGGAAGGGTCTCTTCTGTACCACCTACACTGGCATGCAGAATTGTGTATTGGATCCAGAGCTACAGGTTACGCTCTTCAGACCTACCGTGGTGTTTGGTTCATGCAGCAAAGCAGAAAATGCAAGCCGTTTAGTTTTGTATCGAACTAGCTAACGCATCTGCGCTGAGGTCCAGCTTTTATAAAGCCAAGATTTTATTTACTCTATGAATGGAAAACACTCAGATGCAACTAGGCAGATCTAGTAAGCAGTTACAATGAGTAACAGGAGCTCCTGATCCCAGCCAAGTAGCCAATAATGTTCGCACTTCTACCCAGCTGAATGTGGCATTCAAATGCTCAGCAGAGCTGATGCCAGTGCTAGTGCTATGGCGCTCACGCCTTGTGCGGCTCAGCACAAGAAACCTGCTCGAACTCGCATAGCACACCTAGGTTGTCACGGGGATCCAGGAACAGCACCGGGTTTCCATGAGCACCAATCTTGGGCTTGCCATCTCCGAGAACACGAATGCCCTCCGTAGACACGTGCTTGGAGGCAGCACCAATGTCGTCAACCTGTACCATAACAACGGCAACAGTATCGAGGAGAATGTGAGATAGGATGAGAGCGGAATGGTTAAGAAATGCGCTGCTGAAGTGGACGAGGAAAGAGAAGCCGGCAACGGTAAGGGGGATCTGGCAGGGAATCGTACAGTGAAGCAGAGGTGGTGCATTCCTCCTCTAGGGTTCTTCTCGAGGAACTTAGCAATGGGACTCTTCTCGCCAAGCGGGTGCAGGAGCTCCACTGTACAGTTGCTCACTTGAGCGATGACCACGCGCACTCCATGCTCAGGCAGATCCTGAGGAATAGAACAACACCCACATTGGTTCAACGTAGTAATATGCAAGAGGCACCGATATGCGATTGGTAGCACGTAGAGCCGCAAGACACAAAATTTCGAGGACGAACTGGAAAGAGTGGACGAGCGTCGGAAAACGTTTTGAAGCCATGCATCTTACATGGGGCTCGGAAACTTGCGCGCCGAATGTGGTGCGGTAGAACTCCGAGGCAGCAGAGAGGTCGGGAACAGCAATGGCGATGTGGTTCAATCCTCGCACATTGTAAGGCAGTGTCTCGGGAGGGCCACGGATGTTCACACCGCCATCACGGCCACCACTCCCATGCCCGACTTGGGAGAACTGCATGGAGCGAAAGATTGAGAACCACATGGTACTTAAATCACTGCGCGGCAAGCACGTGTAAAATTCACTCATTTTAACATGGCTAAGCTGCCTCGTAGTGCAGTGGGGTGTCGTTTTGCCTTTTTGCCTCATTTTAGCCAGACCTAGCTGCCCTTCTTCGCACTTGTTCAGATTCAACACAATACGATGATTTTCACATGCACTGAAGAACAAAGAACCAAGTTTTCATTCAACTTCGTGCACCGTATGGTCCCACGAAATACAACATAGAAGAAACAGTTTGGCAAGGGGACGGAAGGCGGACGGTACGTTAAATTAGATATGGAAAACAAAAAACCAACTAACCTGTCGGATAAGAGCGGGGAAAATGCGGGCCGGAGCAGGAGCGACAGCTTGGCTTCCCGAAAAAACTCGGGCGTAGTTGCTGCTTCGACGTGCTACCACAGACGCTGCGCGGAGCCACATGGCCATTGTGGACGAAAGGTCTGGTTAAAAAAACTGAGCGAAAGGGGTAAGCGGCAAGTAGAACCACGAGAGGACGTTGGATGGAAGGGCGATGGAAGGTAGGCGGTGATGGAGCGTGATGGCTTGAGGCGAGGAGAAGAAGCAGGAACAGCAGCAGCAACACACGGCGAGAATGGGAGAAAGTAGCCCTAGGCGTGGATAAAGAAATGAAAGGTGGTAGCAGCGAGTTTGTACAACTCCGTTTGCTGGCAAATGGGGTGCCTAACCCGAAAGCGAAGGAAGCGGACATGTGTGCTCGTAGATTCAGAAGGCTCGGAAGGAAAGGCTTGACCCAAAGCACCTAGGGTTCCAAGGTTGGCTCGACAGATATTTGGTTCGAGAATATGCTTGGGGCGGGGGTCAGGAGGTTTGGTGCATCACGTAATGCATCTTACTGAACCGCATTCGAACGTTTGGGAGCGGTTCATTGCGGCCATTGGCTCGGAGATATGATGGGTCTGGTTTGGTGTTGGGGAAATGAAATGAAATCGGGTTCGCTGAGTAAAGCACGGAGACACCTGCATGCCACGTGGTCCAGGGAGGTCTGCCTGATACGAGATGCAGCCATGTAGGAATATTCGGCCAATGAATGGATAGCGAACCAACGTTGACCCCGCAGGGCATGCGGCAATCTCCCAACCTTCAGGAGACAGCGCAGACGCAAGGCGGAAAAAGTGCGGCTGATATCTTTTCCTGACTAGGCACGCCCAGTCGGATTAACGCGCTATCTTAGTTTCGAGAAGATACCACTAAATATACAGAACAAAAAAAAAAAACACCCACACAATAAGAATCATAACGGGATAAAAAAAGGTTCCGCAACTGTCCAATTTGAGAGTAAATTGTCATCTCAAACTGCAAGTTCGTCAGATGGTTTGGTAAACGGGGCGAATGCAGCCTCCACTTCGGCTTCATCCACCTCCTCTTGAGTAGCAGGAGACCACTTCGGGTTCTACAGCCACACAACAGAATCAACCAAAAGTGTTTATCATGGGATGACCACACATGGCTCAAATCTTTTAACTTTGGCCTCGCAAGAAACAGCAAATGGATGAGATAGGCATGGATTGACCCACCTTGTCCTTGTCAATGAGCACGGCACGGACGCCCTCCAGAAAGTCAGGTCTGACAGATGTGCGCAGTGCCATGCGGTACTCTGTGCGCATCACGTCCTCTATCTGTGCACCGAGCATACATGCAGCAGATTGATTATGGGTGAGACCACAGAACGAGGCACGGGGTGCGAACGAGAGGACACCAGGTGTGGGGCAAGGTGGGGAGAGAAAGAAGGCCAGCAGAAGAAGTCAAAGGAGGAATGCAGGCAAGGCGGTGCACCCTCGACCGGCTACTTCACTGAAAGGCATGGAAAACAAGCCTTCATATAGAACATGCTTGCCCAGTATGGCACCACGGCATGCAACCATGGAATGTCATCACATGCACATGGACACTCTCTCCACTACCACACGAACATCCCATTAGTGCACACGCTCATGAGAACTAAGGAGCTCAAATATATGAAAGGCACGCTGCAGTGGCAGCGGCACTCACAGGGAGCTGCTTCTCAGCCTCGGCCTGGTTGGGCGCCGTGGCGGCAGCATCAGCAGCACGCGCAGAGAGCGCATGGAAGTGCTTTAGCGTGATGGCAAGGCTGAAGGGCGCTCCTGCCGCCATGGCCTGTAGGGAGTCTTTGGCCCACTGGGACACTGCTCATGGGGAGGGACGAAAAGAATGGCAGGGTGGATTGGGAGACTGGCTTTTGGGCGTCTGGCTTGTAGACCGTCTGTGGCCCACCGTGACATTGGTCACGACGGGGGAGAGCGGCAGAGGGAATATTCAGGGGAAGAGCGCATGAGGGCATGATTGTGTGCTGTGCACAGGAAGGGAGGGACTGGGCCCTGCGGTCTTGGAATCCAGACCAGGAGAATCAAGTGTTCCCCAAAAGGCAATCTCCGTGCGAAAGGGTCGCACCAGAGCCACACAATGCATGACCCCTACTGCACCCCACCTCCCACCCCCTTCCCTCCCCACCATCCCATGTGCCTGTCGGAACTAGAGCTGAGAATCGATACATTAGCAATGAGCTCAAAGCTCTTTAAGTACATCAGAAATGAGCAAGGTAGGTTTGGGAAGGGAACCGGGGGCAATCCTAGGGAATTGAGGGTAATCCCAAGGCAGTCTCCAATTGGTGGGTTGGAGATTCCTTGCAGATCAGGGTTTGGCTGGGATGTGGGTGTACACCCAACCAAACACAAAGTGCACACTACACTAGGATATAAAAAGTGCAAGTACAAATTATAAGATTGAGGGCTAACACGAACAGTGCTTTCCCATCCCAACCATCCACCCCCTCCCCCTCTCTCACCAGTGCTGTCAGCGCTCTTCTCCTCGGCGCGCAGAGCAGCCAGCACGTGCGGCACAGAGGGGCACTGCGAGCGGTGGAAGCAGCGCTCTATGGCCGCCAGCACCGCCTCTATCTGGGACCCCGCCACCCCCGCGCCTTCCCCCCCTGCTGCTGCTGTGGTGGGCTGTGTGTGGCGGGACAAGATGGTCTCTACCAGAGAGGAGGCGTCTGCAGGGGCGGAGGCGGACGCACTGCTGGGATGGCAGGGCCATGGCATGGATGCAATGCAGGGGTAGAATGCGATGTGGAAGGGCAATGCACAAGGGGATGAATCGAGGGCGCAGAGGTTGAGTTTGGTGGGAACGTGGCACCAAAGAGTGGGTTGATGAGGGTAGGGCGTGGCAGTATGCGGTACGAAAACTATGGTGCTAGAACGTCTCTTGTCCCCATCCCAAGCCCCCATTCGCACCCACCAGCACCCGGAAATCAAGCACCAGCACCCGAAACCACCACCCATCAATCACCCCTCAGCACCCTCCAGCACGCAAAAGTCAGCCAGGAGCAGATCTTGTTTGAAAGTAGTGAGAATAGTGGAAGACACATAAATGACTTTTGAGTCTACTCAAAAGTCACGACTCAAAAGGCACCATGAATCACCCACTATCACCGGTCAGCACCGTCCACCACGCACAAGTCAGCTTGGAGCAGAGCTTCTTTGAGGGTGGGGAGAGCAGTGGAGGGCACATAATGTGTGGCCAGGCCTGCCAGTAGGGCATCGTGGGGCGTGCTGATGCGCGCGCCCGTCATGCCCATGTACGTGCCTGCATGCACGGCGCACACAGAGGGGGCATCAGTTGATGGCGAGTCAACGGACAGGGAAAAATGGTGGCATCTTGACGTTGCGAAACAGGGGAAGGAAACAGGATTCAGGTGACCTCCCCCCTCCCCGTCTTTTCTGGAAACAAAGCAGCAGTGGTGGGTAGGGCGCACTGACCCAGAGCACCGCCGGCGGGTGAGAGAGCAGCAATGCGTGCAAAGCCCACGTCCGGGAAGAGACCAATGGCGTTCTCTGGCATGGCCATCAGGGCTCGCTGTGGTTGGGTGGGGTGCGGTGGAATGGGAGGGGACGGATGGGATGGGAAGGGAGGGGGGGAGGAGAGGGGAGGGGAGGGGAGGAGAAGCGAGGGGAGGGGAGGGGAAGGGATGGGATGTATGGATTTGACGTGAATATACAAGCAAACGAATTGATACACATCGACAATTTGTACACTACTTGGAGTTCACTTCCCAACATTCTACATCCCAATTCGCCCTCAACGTTCCTCCACGTGCCATCATTCGCCCCCACGCATGCACCCCCACGTGCCCCACCTACCTTGCCCCCCACCTACCTTGCCCTTCACCTCCCACGCACCCCACTGCTTCTCCCCCACCCTTGGCTCCCCACCCACCCACTCTCTCCCCTCATCCCCCCCCCCACACCTCAGTGACGACACGGTAGCGGCCGTGGGCGGAGAGGTCAAAGCCCATGGTGACCCCGTCCATGAGAGCGATGTACGGCTTGACCCATATCGTCAACCTATGTGCCAGTTCGAATTCTAGGACTTCTAGCTTCCCCCAAAACGCCCTCATTCACGCCCCCCCCCCTCCCCCCACACGACCTGCCCTACTCCCCCAAACCCAGCCCTCCTCTGCCCAGCCTCCCTTCCTGGACGCCCCTCACCCCCATCATGCACCTCACCTCTGTGACAACGCGGTAGCGGCCATGGGCGGACAGGCCGAGGCCAAAGCCCATGGTGACGCCGTCCATGAGAGCAATGTAAGGCTTGGGGTAGCGCGCTATGGCGCAGATGAGCGTGTACTCCGCTGTGAACACCTGATGGGGGGGAGAGGAGAAGGGGCGAGGGGAAGAAGAGGGGGAGGGGAGGGGGAGCAGGAGGGGTGCAGGGAAGGATGGACGTTAGGGAGGGCGTGGAGGTGCATGGGGCTTGGGGTAGCGCCCTATGGTGCAGATGAGTGTGTACTCCGCTGTGAACACCTGATGGGGGGGAGGGAAGGCGGAGGGGGAGGAAAGGGGGATGGGAGGCAGAGGGCAGGTGAGAGGTGGGGAAGGGCAGGTGAGGGGTGGGGGAGGGCAGGTGAGGGGTAGGGGAGGGCAGGCGAGAGGTGGGGGAGGGCGGGGGAGGGGTGGGGGAGAACAGGGAGGGTTTAGGGTTTAGGGTATATGCTGGAGGGGAGGGGCGGGGGAGAGGCAAGGGACGAAAACACTATGAAATGCGTCACTATTAGTTAAGGGAGGAGATGGGAGGGGGTAGGATGCGGGATAGGATGAGGGTTGTGGGTGGAGCGTGGGGGGGATAAGACCATAGGAAAGGAGAGGCATGCAAGGGCATGGGCATGGGCATGGGCATGGGCATGGGCATGACCTGCACGGCTGTTTCCTCCATGCCCAGCTCCTCTCGATTGCTGGTCACAATGGCCTTCACATCACCTCCTGATGCCATGCCCATCGCCCATGCCCATCGCCCATGCCCATCGCCCATGCCCCATCCCCATGCCATGATCACGTGACGTGAAGGGAGCGCCATGTGGAAGGGATGGGTGGAAGGAGGGCATGGTGGGAGTGGCGGGGAGCGGGGGAAGAGGGGAAGGTGGGGGGAAGGTGGGGGGAAGAAAGAAAGGGTATGAGGATGAGTGAGGGAGGGCGATGGGGCAGCACCTGAGGCACATAGGGCGTGTTGATATCCTCCTTGATGTATCCCACCGCCCCCTTGATGTCCATGCCTGCCATTCCCATGACATGCCATACCCATGCCATACCATGCCATGCCATGCCCACCCATGCGGTGCCATGCCATGACATGACATGCCATGCCATCCCATGTCCACCCATGTCATTCCACGTCATGCAATGTTGTGAGTGGACACATTCGACTAATGTTGAGAGGTGAACAACAGGCAGAGCAAGGTGCAATAAGGCTGTGCAAAAGCAAAGAAACAACCACTGCCAACCGTACATCACCCACACCCTTTCCCCTCTCGGCCCTCCTCCCAATCCCTTCCAATTTTCCCCTGAATTCACATTGTGCTCCACCCCATTCCCCTCCCAACAATACTCTCCATCCCCCACCATCCCCGATCCCCCCATCCGCCCATCCGCCCATCCGCCCATCCCCCATCCGCCCATCCCCCATCCGCCCATCCCCCATCCGCCATTCGCCCATCCCCCATCCGCCCATCCCCCATCCCCCATCCGCCATCCGCCCATCGCCCATCGGCCCATCGCCAAGCGCACCAGCGGAGAAGGCGCGCGGAGTGGAGCCCTCCACCACCACGGCCTTCACGCGCGGGTCGACCGCCCACTCGTCCAGCAGCGCCTTGTACGCTCGGTCCATGCCTGCTCGCGAGGCTCGAAAGAACGTGTGGTTGTGGGGGGGGCGGCGGGGGGGTTGGCAGGGGAGAGGAGGCGATGCTTACGGAAGAGGGGAGGAACGAGGAACGATCACCACCAGTGGCGGATTGCGTAGGTAAGCTAGGAATTTTATATCTCCCTGTTCCCTGAAGGGATGACTCACCGGCGGCACTCACCCACTCATCACAGGGAGCTTTCCTGATACAGTCAACTCATCCCTGCTGTGCCAGGACAGCTACGATTGTCCTACAATAAACCAAGCTGTAACTGAAGGGATTGAACAAATTCGCTCCTTGATGATAAATACTAGGCGCATATCCCAAGCCCCAGGTCTCGGGTCTCCAGTCACGCAGTTCGCGGCTCTCTTATCACAAGTCACGGGTCACGGGTCACGGGTCACGGCACGGGTTACGACCCAACACAAGATCGCGTGTCCCGGGTCGCGGCTCGCACCTAGATTCATGGCGTTGAGCGCCTTGGGGCGATCCATCGTCAGCACCGCCACGCCGTTCGCCTCCACGCGTCCTTTAATCTCCGGCACGCTTCCCGCGTCGCCAACGGCTGCGGACGCCATCTGAGCTCTCGCGGAAACTGCGCGCGCACTGGCGGAAAAAGCGGACGCGTTACAGGTAGGAATGAGTATCCCGCTCGCAAGCTTTGCGGAATTGCCGGTGATCGCGCGGGATTTGCGGAAAGAATATCCGCAGCGGTCGAGCGGAAAGCTCGGCGGAAGAAAGGTGGTTGCGGGATCAACACGCGGATGCGCGGCAGGGGGAGCTAGAAGGGCGCGTGAGGTGGAAGCGGAAATGGGTGTCGCGCGGGGGGTTCCACTGGCGGAGAGGCGCTGCGCCGCGCAAGAGAAGGCGGCGGAAACGGAAGAGCGGGATACGCGCGGGGAGAGAGCCGAGAAATGGGGAAGGGGCATTGCTGAGGTGCGATTCGCCGATCCTACGACGATGCGGGATGTGCGACGTCGTCAGGAGGCTGAATCTGAATGCAACTGTTTCACTGGAAGAACCTAGGAGCATAATTGTAGGAAGAGGTGATGCAATACTGATTTAGTCAAATTCAATATCTTCACAGCGTGCGTTGAGATCTCCATTCTATCAAGTTGCATGATGTCACAACGTACAAAACACCACTCCAGAAAAATATATAGCATACCATATGCAGGTTTCAGTGGTGTCCTTCCAAAAAACGGCTAAACATTCCAGATAAATTCCCCTTTCCTGAACCTCAGGACTCTGGAAAATCAGCTGGTAAGATACGGTATATGGGAAAAATGATACCATGTACACTCGCGCATCTGCAAATTCATGCACTCGGTGTGCTCATGCATGCCCAGGGCTGCCATTTTGACATCCCGGTATACTGCACACTGTTGCACGCACCTCATGCCACTGCCACCACCACCCACTCTTGCTGCAGTCTCACCACTCACTGAAGATCACCACTATCTCACCACCCACTCTCACTGCACTCTCACCACTCACTACAACCGCTCACTCTCACCACTCAGTATCACCACATTCTTACCATTCTGACCACTCAATCTCACCACACTCTCACCACTCCAACCTCACCACTCAAACCACTCACCCTCACCACTCATACCACTCACCCTCACCACTCAAACTACTCACCCTCAACACTCAAACCACTCACCCTCACCACTCAAACCACTCACCCTCAACACTCAAACCACTCACCCTCACCACTCAAACCACTCACCCTCACCACTCAAACCACTCACCCTCACCACTCAAACCACTCACCCTCAACACTCAAACCACTCACCCTCACCACTCAAACCACTCACCCTCACCACTCAAACCACTCACCCTCACCACTCAAACCACTCACCCTCACCACTCAAACCACTCACCCTCACCACTCAAACCACTCGAACCACTCAAACCACTCACCCTCACCACTCAAACCACTCACCCTCACCACCCTCTCTGATCTCACTCTCACCTCCCATTCTCACAAATATCCCCCACCACTCACTCACTCTCACCGCTGTCAACTCTAACTCTCACCATTTATGCTCTCATGCAACAGGTGGCATCAGTGCCATGCGGCCCATGATGTGCCACAGAAGGAACCCCAGCCCCTATCACTTGCTCTCACCCACCCGACTCAGCCTCTTTCACCCACTCATGCGCATCATGCAAAGGTGGCATCAGTGCAACTCATCATGTGCCACCAACAACAGGTGGCATCAGTGCAACTCATCATGTGTCACCAACAACAGGTGGCATCAGTGCCATACGGCTCATCATATGCCACCGCCAACCCCACCGCCCCTCACCACCATGACCACCAAGCCCACCCATCCCCTCCCCACCTTCCCTGCCAGCAGTAGGAGCAGCAGATAGCCCACTCCCCTTCAGAAACAGAACGCTCAGGGTCTGTGCCTTGCAGTGCGAGGTGTGGTAGTGGAAAATTGCTTCCAGCCCAAGACACAATCCCACCCCTGACGTAGCCAGAGCTGACGCGAACCAGAGCCGCCGGCCGGTCGGCTCTGACGGTGTCCATTAGGTCTTGCACGTCAGATCGGTTACTTGAGCACCGAGTGCCGTGCCGCGCAGATTCCACCCACCCCACTCCGACACAAGGCACAACCTCAGAGGGTGCTGCCCCTAAGGCAGTGAGCTGACCACTTGCTCCCATGCTCGCCACCCACCCCCATCCCTTCACCCCATGCCTCCTTACCTGTACCTACCATAGCCGTTCAGAGCGCCATGATGCCTCAGGCTGCTGGGAAGTGGGAGGAGGGAGAGAAGGGGGGGGGAGATTAGAGTAAGGATGCCTCTGCTTCGCCATTGCTGCAGTGCTCCCTCCCTCCTTCAGGCTGCTAGAAGGAGAGGGGGGGAGAGAAAGAGAGAGAGGAGGGAATAAGACAACACACCTGCTACCATACCTCACCTGATACCATACCTCGCCTGGTACCATACCTCACTCACGACTCGACCTAACCTAGTCTGCCCCCTAGCCCCCCACCCCCCACTGCATCTGCTGCTGCAACTGCTGCTGCCGGTCTGCTACTCAGCTTCCTCTGCTTCAGTCTTCACTCCATGCCAAGTGATCTGGTGGAGGGGAGGGAAGAAAAGGGGAAGAAAAGAAATCGAGTTGGAATGACCAGAGAGAGAGCAAATAAAACTGCAGCAGACGAAAACGAGAAGGCGATTGAAGAGCAGAAAGGGAGAGCGATGAGGGTAAGAGGGGAGGTGACGTGCCTTGAGAGGCCAAGCCCACCCCCATACTCTCCTTTGTGGGGGAGACTGGCAGTGCTGGCTCCCTCCCATCCCCGCAGGTACCTGCACGGCCATCGGGGAGGGGCGTGGGGAAGCGTCGGTGTTGACCCCTGCCCCTCCCCTCCACCTGCAAGGCACACACGCAGAGCTGGGCAGTGGGCAGCGAGGGGATGAAGATTGAAAGTGCAAGAGAGGGAACGGCGTTTGCAAAGTGGGAGAGGGGAGGGGCCACTGGTGGAGGCCAAGTCACAAACTGCAGACCCAAGGGCTGCACCTGAGGGGGTACCTGCACACCTGCACCTGAGGGGGTACCTGCACCTGAGAGGGTTACCTGAAGTAAGGGGGTCTGCAGCATGTGAGGCGGTCCCAACCAGTGGCACTGTTTCTAGAGGAAGGTGAGGAAGGTGCGGAAGCGCATGCAAAGTCAAGATGCCAGCAAGCACACAAGACATGGCGAGGCAGGCAAGGGGTTGAGGGAACTTAACTGTAAGACGTGAGAGCGAGCAGAGGGCAGCTGCTGCAGCACCAGGTGATTCCTTCCCCGGCAGCCCTCCTCCCATCCTTCCTGTGTGCGTCCCTCCCTGCATGGCCACCGGGGAGAGGTGTGAGGGGATGGTGGTGCTGACCCCACACCCCTCCCCCCCACCTGCAAGGCACACACGCAGAGCTGGTGAGTAGGCAGCAAGGGAACGAAGGGTGAAAGTGCAAGAGCAGAGCATGCAAGGCAAATGAGAGCGGAGGGGCCACTGGTTGAGGCACTAGCACAAGGCACAGACCCCCCAGGGGACCTGAGGGGCTGTAGGCCTGTAGGGGGGCTGAACCTGAACCTGAACCTGAGGGGTTTACCTGGAATAAGAAAAGGGAGGTCTGTGGCTTGCAAGTCATGCCCCAACCAGCGGCGAGATTTGACAGAATGGAAAGAAAGAAAAGAAGCAGAACCCAAATCAACCGAAAGCACTTGAGAGGCAAGGTTCAAGGAGGCGAATGACTTAGCTGAAAGTTGGAGCAGTGGTGGTGCAGGCGGAGGGGGTGCCTCGATGCAGAGTGGCCACGGCGAGGGGGGGTTGGAAGAATGAACGTGGAAAGCAAAAGACCACAAGCGAGGAGGGGCAGGGACTTAGCAGTGGATGGGTTGGGTGGAGAGCAGCTGCTGACTGCCATTCCCACTCCCACTGCAACTCCCACTCCATGTTTCCCGTTACTGCTCCCCGCCACTGCCACTCCCACACCATGCTGGGACGAGAGGGGCCAGATTGGGACAGAGAGAGAGAGGGAGGAGAGGAGTGCAGAGGGCAAAGAGTAAAGAGGAAAAACGGAGTGGCATGCAGGCCAGGGAGCAAGAAAGGAAACGAGCATGGGGGGAAGAGCAAGCATAAGCGTGAGTGAAGAAAAGCACAAACATGCAAGCATCTTCAGCAGGGAGGGGAAAAGAGGCTCACCTTGATTCAGACAACCCATCCCGATACTCTCCCTTCCCATCCCAGCCTAGTGGAGTGCTGTCCCCTCCCCTCCCACCACTGCCACCTGCACAGCCACAGGGAAGGAGCGTGAGGGAGTGGCGGTGTTGACCCCCACGCCCCTCCCCGCCGCCTGCAAGAAGGAAACTGAAGACCAGTGAGTAACCGGCTAGGGGCAGAAACGTGAGAGGCGAGCAAGGGTGGGGTGGGTGGGAGGTGAGAGCAGCAGAGGGACCACTGGAGCAGCGCTAGGCACATGGTGCAGACCCCAAAGGTAGTGAGGGTTATAGTAAATGTGTAGAGCTTATGGTAGGCTTAACCTGGGGGATGGAGGGGGGGGAATACCTGGTATAAGGGGGTCTGCACCATGTGGGCTAGGCTGCTGCAAGTGGCTTGGTTTGAGGGGAGGAGGCATGCAGCATGGATGGAAAGATGATGTGCAGATGCATGCAAGCGAGCATGCGAGCGAACATGTGAGAGAGCGAAAGCAAAGAGCAACGAGATGGAATAGAGAGAGTGTACTTATCTGGTATGGCTGTGAGTGGTGGTGGCGCCTTGAGCCTTGAGGCTGCTGTGCTGCCGCCACTGAAGCGCCTCACACCACCCAAAGGTGGTGCTGGGAGTGCTGGGAACTCACCACCAGAGGGGCTGCTGGGGGATGGGCGGAGGGGAGAGTGGGGAGGAAGGAAATGGGTGGAGATGGAGAGGAGGGGAGAGGAGAGTTGGGGGGGAAGTTAAGTGGAGGAGAGAGAGGTATGCAGATGGAAAGGGGAGATGTGCAGGTGAGGCAGACAGGGAGGAAGAGGAGCCGGGCCACTGGTAGAAAAAGAGGCTCACCTTGATTCAGACAACCCAGCCCGATACTCTCCCTTCCCGGCCCAGCCGAGTGGACTGCTGCCCCTTCCCCTCCCACCCTTGCACCTGCACAGCCACAAGGGAGGAGCGTGAGGGAGTGGCGGTGTTGTCTCCCACGCCCCTCCCCTCAACCGGCAAGGAGAGAACTGAAGAGAGTGAGTAAGCGGCTAGGGGTAGAAATGTGAGACGAGTGCATGAGATGGCATTTGGGAGCAGAGAAGGGGGGCACTGGTGCAGCCTCAGCTACAAGCCACAGACCCAAGAGAGGTACACACCTAGGGAGGCTTACGTGCAGACCTGAGAGAATACCTGCAGTACCTGGGGGAAATTACCCAAGAAAAAGGGGTCTGTGGCTTGAAGCTTTTGACTCAACCAGCGGCTCGCATTTGAATGCACAAGCGGCAGGAGATGTAGCAAGGACTGAAATGGACCGAAAATGAACACAAGAGGCAGGGCGGGTACTTAGCTGCGGGTGGGTTGGGTGGAGAGCAGGTGCTGCTGGTGCACTCCATGTCCCCCGCCACTGCTGCTGGCGTGTGAGTGAGTTGCTGGAATGAGAGCGGGCAAATCGGGTCAGAAAGAGGAAGGGAGGAGGATGGAGAGAGGACGGAGGTGTGATAAGGGAGAAAAGGAGGGTGATGAGTAAAGAGGCGAAGACAAGTGCGTGAAGTGAGAGGGAATGAGTGCAAGAGTGAAGTGAGGATGAATTGACTGCTGCAGTGGCACACCCAAGAGACTTCATACCAGCTGAACCACACTAAACCAAATACCTGAGCACGTACCTGCTACCTTGCTACCTTGGGGGAGGGAGATCTCTTGAGTGTGACAGAGGGCAGTAAGGGAGTGTAAAGTATAATTCAAGCGAGGCATGAAAGCCCACACAAGTGCGAGGGTTGAGAGGAGAGCAGGGAGGTGTACTTAGCTTAGCTGTGGGTGGGTTGGGTGGAGAGCAGTCGCGAGTGACGGAAGGGACTGGGCCCGAAATCGCAGGTGGCGAGAGAGGTTCAACGGCACCCACCAGCGTGGCACCCGTCCGGGGGTTGGGCAACGGCGTGACGCACGGCGGCCTGCAGTGGGTGGAAAGACGCGGCGACAACCATGTGTGAAATTGATCGGGAAACGTACTTCGGGGAATCAGCTCGCGAAACGACGTACTGTGATACGAAATCGATCTGCGAAATAGGATTGCGAAACTGAAATTCGGGATCTAGTATTGCAGAGTTGAAACGGGAAACTGAAACGCGATAACTATGTGCGAAATCGATCGGTGAATATGTTCATCAAGATTGAAACGCGAAACGGGAAAGCGAAGGCGTGACATGCGAGAAATTTACAATATGCATGGATGTGGTTTCGCGAAATACCTGAGCTGCCAGACGAAGCGAATCTGAACTCGCACGCACTCCCCGAAATCGTACACGTCGTTGGTGGTTCAAGTGGCATGTCGACTCCCCAACAAACCTGCAACATGCAACCAGCATACGTCAGACGCGCCACTGAACAATCTCGCGTGTGGTAAAACAAAAGCATATTGCACGACTAAATAGGACTCGGATACGTGAAAAAAAAAAAGCACACGCACTCAGACGTACCTTGCAAAGAAGTCGCCATCCTCGCACTTGCTCTTTCTTAGCCAAAGTTTCCAGGCTTCATGCGACTTCCTCTTCCCGACGCGCGATTTCCTCTTTCCGACACGCGATTTCATCTTCCCGACACGCGATTTCCTCTTCCCGTAAAAGCAGCTTCTACATTAAGCCAGGCCTGAAGCAGAATGCCTTCAGGTTATATTTGGAATCAGCTTCGCTAGCGGCTTGCCTTGTCGCAGTCGCAAATGCCCTAAGAAAACGAGCAGAAAGCGTGAAGCACAATGCCTCACGCTTGCGTTGAACGTGAGAAAATGAGAAAATGAGAGCAAGAGGCGAAAGCGCTGTGAAAACCAAGGCTCAGGCGAGAATGAGGCGAGAGACGACGGTGACGCTGGAATGAGGCGGAGGGGTCACCAACTGCCTCTCCTCTCCTTTCCTCACAACAACCCTCTTCAGATCCACCGTAAAAAATCACTGGATTGTCTGAAACACTCTTGGAACTCAGATCGCAGCCGTAGATTCGGACCTTCTGCTTGTTTCGTCACGGCAATCCAAGCCTGTTCCTCGTTGGTCTACAGGTTAACCGGCTGCGTTGGGTCGCGACGAACAGTGATACCGGCTGCGAATGGTGGGTTCGGTCAGGCTGAATGTTTGTCCATGACTGTGAGATTCTAGAGTCCATTTCGGTGGCTGGTTGAGAATCGTCCGCGTGGCACATGACTATGCCGGTCAGGGAAGGGAAAAGAAAATTGCCAAGTTTACGCCGTTTGCTTGTCCCCTCATTTCACCTCAGCGAGTACGCGAGACAAACGACACCGACTTCTTTCAGCGAGATTCCGTTGACAAGGGCGGGAGCTGCGGGATTTCGCTGGTGAACGTTGGACTCCGCGAACTAGGAACCGTCGATTGTCCTCTCATCTGGAGGCGCAGAGTCATCGTGTCAGTTTGGAACGCGGCAAGCCCAATGGCTTGAATAGCCGTGGTTCCAGCCACTAGGAGCGAAGTCAATCGTAGCCGTGGATACAGATTCTAGGGAAGCGTTTGCGATTGGAATCTGGTGTTTAGGCTGTCCATGTTATCTGACATGGGCGAAGCTGGCGAACGATGTATGCTTCCCACCTATTCTGTTACTCGTCGCTGATTCGACGGAGAATTTGATCTTCCTGACACTGATCTGAGAAGATACGATGAGCCGACACATTCTTTCGAATAAATGAATCTAATTCACGGTGGGTACACCAAGTAAGGGTACAATAACAAGTCACAACATAGAGGGAGCCGTTTTAATGAGGAAATGTAATTATTGCAATATGTAGAAAAAGGTGATGCACAGTCTACCTTTAATTGCTATGCACTATCATTCAGCATGCCTGAATGTCAGAGTTGTATACCACAGTTGCAAACCTACCAATTTCATTTGCTTCTGCATATTTCTGTGATTACGGAATTAGCCAACGAGAGTTCTAAGCTGAACCTGGTCAGAAGGGAGAGGTCAGACGTTGGATGTCGTGTTCATGCATATGTTTGTGCCAGAAAATTTGATAATTATCTGAATTGCAAATTACAGGCAGAGCTATTTACATTGAGCCAGTCAGCATTGCATCTACACACAAGAACCAACGTAAGTTAAGAATTGGCATGCACGCAGCAGCTGAGCACAGGAGGCAGGACTGGCAGAAAATAGACAAAAGATACAAGGGCCTGGCACAACAGCATTGGAAGCAGCTCTTCCAAAATGGTGGCGGAGCAGCAGTGTGAGTGAGCATCGCAGGGGAATTGTGCAAGAGGGTGTGGAGTGGAATGTGTTGGGCAATGAGAGGCAATTGAGGATGATTGTAGACATGAGTACGGCAAGCAGCAGCGCAACGGCAGCAGTGCAGCAGCAGCGCTGCAGGGTATGGACAGGATGGATAGCTATGGTGAGAGCAGGGTACACAGCAACGCGTAGGTGAGAGCAGAGTAGAACCGGCCCCCAAGGCACATGGCACGGCATTCAGGGCGAGTGACAGTGGGATGATGTTATCATCCTGTCAGCACGGTTCTCTGCTCCTGCCTGCCATGCCATCTTGGGTTCAGCACTTGGGTTCTCTGCCTGCTCCTCAAAACTGCACAACAACCATCACATACGCACAGGCGACAGAAGAGACAGGACATCGCATGGGGAGGAAGCATTAGTTAATGCTTGATTTATTTGAAGACCAAACAAGGGCTCACACAATTCCCCACAATTCCCCACTAACCTGCCACTCCTCCCCTGACCAAGGGCTAAAGAATACACCAGCCACATCCACACACCCAGTCACCCCCACGCATCTGCGTGTGCGTGCGCGTACGCGCGTGCAACAATATCTCACCCTGTTGTTGAGCTGGCGGGGGTTGCGGTTGCGCAGCTGGTTCAGCTTGTCGCGCAGGGACGCTGGGAGAGCGGAGGGTAGGGCGGCGCAGGGAGGCGGGAGCGAGGAACAAACAACGAGGTGAACGCGGGCGGTTCTTCATACGTCTCAACACAAGTTGCGTCATGCGCACACATTCTTCCAGTAATAGGGCGCACGTGAATCTCGTTGCTAAGGCGACGGAGGTGCAAGAAACATCAGGAAAAGGCAAATAAGAGGGGAGGAAAGCAGAGGAGAGCGGAGGAAAGGCTAAGGCATGAGGCCAGCAAGAGGGCGCCCAAGGTGCGAGCGTACCTGCGTCGGCGTATCTCTCCTCCTGCACGGCCGCCATGAGGCTCTTGGTCAGCGCCATCTCCTCCGTCAACAGGTCCGTCGCGCCCCTGCACCCGCCGCGCACGCGAGAGAGACAAAGAGAAAAACGCACACCGATAGGGATGTTGTTTAGCGTGTTTCCATTTCAGCACCCAGCCAGGGCATTTGTATGAATTGTCGCGCACACGGGAAAGCCGAACCGGAATCATTGTTCCCTGCCCGTGCATCCACCCCACCCGCGCTCCCGCTCCCCGCTCCTCGCTCGCGGTTCCCAATTCCCCGCTCCCACTCTCGAGAGCTCGACTCACCTATCAGGGCCAGCGGCCGCGGCGGGCGAGCCGAACACGGCGTGGTGTGCGGCGGCGGAGTAGGGCTGCCCGGGCGACACGATGCGGTGCGCCTCGTCCACCACGCGCACCGCATCGCTGCGCACGATGCTTTTCGACACGAAGATGGGCACCTGCCGCACAGACACGCCGCGCGCACACGGCACCAGAAACGGGGACGGAAAGGGAGGGGAGGAGTGACGAACCACACAGTGAAAAACGGGAAGCGCAGAGTGCCAAACAGCCGTTTACTGGTAGGGATACAGAGAAAGATGGAGGAGGGGGAGCTGCGGATCTGGGAACAGGAGATGCGGTATGCGGAGCAGCGGAAATAGCGGGGGCAGATGAGGGGCGGCGCAGTACCTGCGCGCGGATGGCGAGGTTGATGGCGTCGGAGGGGCGCGCGTCGATGCTGGCGACGCAGTGCGGCGAGTCGGGCTGCGCGAGGAAGATGCGCGCGAGGTACGTGTCCATGACGCGCTGCGTGATCTTGACGGTGCGCACCTCGTAATTGAGCGACTCCACCATGTCGCGCATCACGTCGTAGTGGCACGGCCTCGCCTGCACGCCACGCCACGCGCGAGAGAGAGCGACAGGAACGGTCAGAAACGAAACGTCAGGACACGCAGACGGATGAGACGGTATTAACAGCTACATGAGTTGTGGTTTAAGAAGCGGACTAAACCGTGGACGCAATCAACAACCCAGGTTAATGGTGGAGAGATGGTGACGTGGGGAAAGCCGGACGAAAGGAATAGTCGAAGACGGACGCTCACGAGGCTTACCCCTGGCTCCTTGCGGAATCCCTTCATCAAGAATCCCACCGCCAATTCGCCTGCAGGACAAGACAGCCAGAGCACGGAGCGCGCTGTAAGAACACGCGACAGGACGCGTCCGACAGATAGGATTCGCAGCTTGAGTCGCACAGCGACAGCTTGACGCCCTTGCGACAGTCGCAGCACTGACCGACGACGATGGGCAGCAGCAGCCCGCTGTTGCCGGCGACCTTGACGAAGATCGCGGGCGTGCTGTGCGGGTACAGCAGGCGGCCGGCGCTGGGGTTGACGTGCTCCACCTCGATCTCCGTGCCGTCCGCCATCGTCATGTACAGCCGCTCCTGCTGCGGCGCCATGCGCACTGCCACGGCGGACAAGGGAGAGGCGAGGGGAACGAGGAACGCAAACGTGAAATTCAGGTCAAAACCACATCCAAGCACAGGTTCTTGCCCGCATATTCTCGGGCCAAACTCAAATTGAGCGGCCGGAACTCACCCGCGTCCATGACGTGGGCCTCGAGATACTCCTCGTCGTCGAACTGCTGATTGTTGGCTCCCATGCCGTGCGGCGAGAAGCTCATCTCAACCGTTGGTCGTTGCCCGCCGCTGCCGCCGGAGGACACGATGTTCCGCACGGGAAGCGCCCCGCCGTAGAATGACTGGCGCTTCGAGCGGAGACTCGCGGCGGAGACATGTGTCGATGACGTGCTGCGGCTGATGCTCGTGGATCTTCTGCCGTCGGCGCAAACGGCTGACGTGTCAGGGAAGGGCCGGGAGCACAGTACGGCGGAGGGAAGGACGCAGGAGCACTTGCCGGACACGACGAGATGCTGCGAAACGTTGGCGGAGGAAGCGGTCGGAGCAAGCGGAGGACGCACAACGGAAGCCATGGCGAGAAGAGAGGAGGAAAACGAAGGGTGCAGTGAAACGATTCAGATAGAAGGCCCCCGCAGACCGATGCAAACAGGTGGCGATGATATTTTCAAGAAATGAGAGGAGCGTCAACGCGGGAAGGAGCACAACACGCCTATAGCCTCACGCTGATGACTTGGGGTGAGGCGCAGCGTGTCCTATAAACAAGTGAATCTGGAAACGAAGGGGGAAGAATAAGCCGAGGTCAGGGTGGATGCAGTGTTTGTAGCTAAGGAGGGCCCAACCTGGGGGGGGGGGGGCGCGCGGATGGTGAGTTGGGGAAATGATTCGCGCAGTGGATTGGTGGAAAGTCTGCGCGTGCTTGAGGGGGGGAGCTTGGTGATGGGCTGCTGCTGAACGAGCATGCGCCAGATTGGGCATGGCTTCGATTTCGTTTGTGCTGCTAGGCAGCGGTCATGACGAGGCACGGTAGTTTCAGCCAATGATAGTCGAGCGCAAGTAACGAGATCTCAAACAGATCGAATGAGTAGCGTCATGCTGAGTCATCCAAAACTAATATCATGGCGGGAAATGCTGTAACTGGGCAACCCCGACTCATCCCTGCGTTCGGGGAATAAAACAAAGATCGTCGTGACGGTGACGGAAATATCATCGAAGGAAGTCCTGAGCCTAGGACCTATGCACCTAGGACCATGACACATTCCTAGACAGCTCCACTAGCCAATAAGGTTGCCAACATGCGGTGGAAGTCAGCACCATCGTGCTGGCACACGCGCTAAAATGGATGTGGATTCGGCAAAGAGCCACGTGAACAAGGTTTTTCTCAAACGAATAGGTATTGGCCATGTGGATAGTCTGTCCAATCGGTTGCTAATACGAGAGACAGTTGCCCGTCATAGGGCTACGATTACCACTAGCGTGCCTATTTTGTAAGGGGGATACACAATATATTCCGATATACATCTCCAACTTGGCTTTAAAAAAATATATACAGATGTTTTTGGGAAACATATAGCTGGTTAAAAACAAATGAGCATCTGTTTCCTTATTATAATCAACGTGTACCGACATGTTACTAACGAGATCATGCAAGAATTCGTCCGTGTGAGGGCGGGTCCAGCGCGTACGTTTGCAGGTCCTATACAGTTCATTCGTAGTGGTTTGAAAAGACATCAAACGGTGCACAACGGTTCCAAAATTGCACCGATTTGAACCGTGAAGAAAGACAGATTACCGCACTGGATGAACTGTAATGTACGGAAAACGTACGCGCTGGACCCGCCCTCAGAATACATTCGGCGGTCATTGGGTTGCGTAGCAACCTTATACATTCGTTTTCACTTTTCGGTTGACTGGCGTGAACAGTGACTTCCCCCCATCGATTTTGGAAGGAATCACTGTTCACGTAAGTTACCGTACAAGTGAAACCGAATGTGTCCAATCATCCATAGTCGTCGATAAGTACGGCGAATGTAATAATTGGACAATCTCTCCTCACGAACGACGATACCATATGTGAATTTCACAAAAAGAAAAAAACAACAAACAAACAAACAAACAAACAAAACAACATGAAGATATGAAAGTACACACGAACTTGCTAAAAAACGTTGGACATTCAAGAACGCTTCAAGGCTATTGCTAAATGCATCGATGATGCAACAGGGGTTGATATGGTGCGGAAAGGGCGAGCAAAGCTGCCCCACCGACGATCACAACCCCAATCGCATACACAAGGCACTCAACACCAAACCCCGAAACAGGCACAAACGACAGCACACAAATTTGGACATTTAACAGTTGTGAATGCTTCAAGGCTAATGCCGATTGCATCGATGTCGCAACAGAGGTTGATATGGTGCGGAAGGGGCGAGCATAGCTGCCCCACCGACGATCACAACCCCAGTTGCATACACAATGCACTCAACACCAAATCCCGAAACAAACACAAACAACACCAACATGTACAGACAGACACATACAGGCTCGCTCACACACCTACACACACACGCAAACAACACAAAGGCATACTACCGCTATTGAACATGCAATGCAAGCGTAACGAATGAGTTCAGCCATGTATAATCACCGTTAACCTGTCCCACATTCCCCTCCCTCCCTCCCTTGTCTCCCATCCCCCCCCTCCCTTCCAATATCCCCTATTCCTCCCGTATCTGTTTACCCACTCTCAACCCCTCCCCTTTCTCCACAAGAAAAACCAAATAGTGCAGCTTGAACCCCCTGCCCTAGAAAGCACAAACAGCGCATGCAACTCACATTCCCTGGGCAAGAAAGCAAAAACAGATAATGCAGCTAACACTTCCTGCACAAACAAAAACAAAAGAGAATACAACTTGCATGAGCTGCACAGCACAGGAAACAAATCACAGGAATGCAGCCCACCCGAGCACAAGAAACGAGGTAAGAGTTATAACAATACGCTGATGAAGAATGAAGTACAAAAAATACAGATGAGGGACGAAAACAATCAAATTTGACATCTCACGAAGGTGATTCGGTATAAGATATCGTGTCGTCACACATACCATGCCAGCATGCCCGCAATACCTCGCAGCCACCCTCGCAGCCACCCTCGTAGCCACCCTCGCAGCCACCCTCGCAGCCACCCTCGCAGCCACCCTCGCAGCCACCCTCGTAGCCACCCTCGCAGCCACCCTCGCAGCCACCCTCGCAGCCACCCTCGCAGCCACCCTTGCAGCCACCCTCGCAGCCACCCTCGCAGCCACCCTCGCCTTCACCCTGACACTCATCTTCGCACCTCACTCTCGCACTCACTTTCCAACTCACTCACGCACACACTATCGCTCCCAACTTTTGCTAGACACGCCCACAGACACACACACTCCCTGCACTCTCACACTCATTCAAAAAGCGCGCATGCACTAGCACGCATACTCGCACACACCCTTGCACGCACCCTCGCACTCACCCTCAAACTCATTTTCGCACTCATGTTCGCACGTACCCTCGCTCTCACCCTCGCACTTACCATTGCGCTCACACCTGCACCCTCGCACTCACCCTTGCACTCACTCTTGCACACTCACTTGCACTCACACTCATACTCACACTCACTCTAACACTTGCTCTTGCACTGACCCTTGCACTCACCTTCACATTCACTCTCGCACTCACGCTCGCACTTCCTCTCGCATTCACCCTCGTACACACACTTGCATGCACCCTCAAGTGCATGCGTGCACTCACTCGCACTCACACCCGCGCTCATTCTCTCACACTCTCTCACACTCACGTTCGCAACCATTCACGAACATACAAGTACTTTTAACCGTACTGAGACACACTCACAGAAACACACACATAACCCTCACACTCACCTTCGGACTCGCGCTCGCGCTTACCCTTGCACTCACTCGAACACGCACACGCACATATAGCCGCACGCACACTCGAACCCAACTCGCACACACACCCACACTTGCACCTACAGCCACGCCCACACTCTGGCTCGCACTCCTTCTTGCAGTCCTACTCGCCCTCTATCTCCCACTTTCTCTTGCACATACTCGTACTCACCCTCGCACTCACTCTTACACTCACACCGTGATGACCCTTGCACTCAACATTGCAGCCACACTCACTCAACTCACTCACTCAGCCTCACACTCTCGCACTCACTCTTCACGCACACAAATATACTCTCAACTCTTCTTTGACAATCATAAAAACATACACACCCTTGCATATGTCCTCGCACTCACCCTCACACACACTCGAACGCACCCTCGTTTTCCTTTGCACTCAGCCTCGCACACACGCGCGCACACACACACACACACTCTCACGCGCACACTCACCCTCAAACTCGCCCTCACACTCACACTTGCACTCACTCTCAAACTTGCTTTCTCACTCACCTTCTCACTACTCTCGCACTCACTCATGCGCTTGCTCTCATATTCAACCTCGCACTCGCCCTTGCCCACAACTGCACGCGCATCTCACTTTCGCACTCACACCCACACAAGCACCTAGATTCACACCCGCACTCACCCTCTCGCACACTCTCGACTCACTCTTGCAACCACTCACACACACTCACGCCCTAACCACAAGCGCACCAGTGCAGAGCCCTAATCGCAAGCGACATAAGCGCAAGCGGATTAGGCGCAAGCGCCCGCGGCACCCACGCCAACGGCGCAAGCGCGCACATACTCTCTCTCCCGCCTCTCTCTCCCACACGCGCTTCGTGCTCCCTCCAGCTCTTCATTCTCTCTCAACATACGCTGTCTCACACGCACTCCCTGCGTGCTCGATCCTGTGCGAACGCTCTCCCTCGCACTCCCTCTCTCCCCCTCTTCAATTGGTAGTGCAACGCAAGACGAGGCAAGTCTAAACGCAGAAACTACAAATAAGGTAGGAAACAATGGAATATCTGAGGGGTGGGAGGAATAAACGCACCTGCTAATGACGGTGCCTCGAAGACCAACCCGCGCTAGCGCACCAGCTCTCGTTCTCTCACCATCCTTATCCATGCTCTCAAACCGCCCCACGGCGGGACGGGAGGGAGTGGCGCGGCGGGGATGAGGGCGAGGAGAGGCGGAATGGAAGGGAGAGACGGCGGCGGGAGGGTAGGGAGTGGCGACGGCAGGGTAGGTGAGAGAGGCAACGGCGGGGTGGGAGGGGACGACGACGGTATGGGAGGGAGCGGAGGCGAGGCGATGGGAGGGAGCGGAGGCGACGGGATGGGAGGGAGCGGAGGCGACGGGATGGGAAGGAGCGGAGGCGACGGGACGGGGAGGGAGGAGACTATGGGGAGGGAGAGGCGACGGCGGAGGGAGAGGCGACGGCGGAGGGAGAGGCGACGGCGGAGGGAGAGGTGACGGCGGAGGGAGAGGCGACGGCGGAGGGAGAGGCGACGGCAGAGGGAGAGGCGACGGCGGAGGGAGAGGCGACGGCAGAGGGAGAGGCGACGGCGGAGGGAGAGGCGACGGCGGAGGGAGAGGTGACGGCGGAGGGAGAGGCGACGGCGGAGGGAGAGGCGACGGCGGAGGGAGATGCGACGGCGGAGGGTGAGGCGACGGCGGAGGGAGAGGCAACGGCGGGGTGGGAGGGAGCGGCGACGGTGGGAGGAGGGAGCGGCGACGGCGGGTAGAAAGGAGAGGCGAGGGCGGGTGGGAGGGAGAGAGGACGGCTCGGTGGGAAAGAAAGGATGGTGGGGTGGAGGTGGTGGGTGCTATGACGAGGTGGGTGGGTGGGAGGGAGAGGCAACAGGTGGGTGGGATTGTCACGTGAAAACACACGCACATTCACGCGACACTGACTGGGCTGAAACAACTCATTAAAAATAGTGCAATGGTCCAATCGAAAGTATCATCTTTGTTCACTACATAAAAAAAACGATCAATGTGTCTCAATGTTTAAAAATCATAAACATCCAGATTGAAACTAATACATTCCACCATCAAGAAGCACTTGCCGTATTCTTTAATACGGTAGACCTAAATTTGGAGCCAAATAAGAAAACAAAACTGCACTTCCTCTTTTTTTTTTTGTCAATTAGGAATGTAACATCTACGCAACCCGTCCGACGTTAACGTCGAGTCTTGTTTGTACTTGTCTTGGGATTTGGGTAAGTTTTGTGTCACAAGCACTGTGCTTCACTACGAACCATCCTCAACAAGGGCTGGGGTGCATCCCTCGACCTAAACCCAAAATTCTCCACCACTTCCCACCGAGCGGGTTGCAGTTGAGACATTCCAGCAAGTCGTCTTCATCTCAATCCACCTTGGTGTACGGCAACTGTGTGTGGACTCCACACGGCTAGACTCTCCCTCTCTCGACACGGCGCTGCGGGGTTGCGGTTCTTCGGTCTTGATCATGCCGAGGCAAGGCGGCGGGAGTGGCAACAGGCTGTCGGACTGGCGCCGAGTCACGGGCGCTGCTGCCGCGAGCGGGCTGGCGGCGAGCGCGGAGGAGGGGGGAGCAGCGGAGGAGCGGGAAGGGGACGGGTTTGGAAGCGGGGAAGACGATTTTGCTGTAAACGCACCAGTGAGGGGCGCGGGCGGAGCCAGACGGGCGGAAAGACGCGCGGCTGCTGGCGGAAGCAGTAGCGGAGGTCGCGGAGGGAGGCGCAAAGGCGGGGGAGGAGGGGGAGGAGGGAGCCGTGCAACGCGCCGAGCAGGCGGATGTGTGACGTTACGGGGGGAGACAGAAACGGGGGGAGATCATTACCCTAGGGAAGCAACGAGCCGATTTGGTGCTAGCAACGATGGCGCACCGGCGGCCCGTAGATCTCTTTCCGAGTCGGCTTTAAAGACAGCGACTCGCGAGTCATATCAGAATCAAGAGCAGGGTCAGTCGGAGATTAACGTGCTCAGGGATATGTTTGGCGGCGGCGCGGTATCGGACGCGGAGATTAGCCACGTGTACTATCACGAGTGCCGGGGGTCGTTAGAGGCTTCGATAGAAGCACTTTTAGGGTTGGCGAACCGCGTTGACAGTACTGGATGTGACAGTATCGGGAGTGAGCGCACGGAGCGGCAGCGTAGCGACGTTAGTCTGGATCCCCACCCCGTCTCCCCGTCCTCCTCCTTCGCCTTCCCCTCCGCCTCCCCTTCCGCCTTTTCCTCCGACTCCGCTTCCGCTTCCGCCATGACCCCACCCGCTGCACCTCCTCTCGTCCGCCCATCCACGTCCTCCTCCCCGCCTCCCCTTCCGCCACTCGCCGTTCCCTCGTCATCATCCTCCGCACAGCCCGCTTCCGCGCATCCCTATCCGCCCTCCTCCTCGTCCCCCGCGCTCACGTCTCCCCCCGGCGGCGCGCCGCTGCTCGTCGCGCTACCCTGCGACCTCCAAGATCTTATCCTCTCCGCGCTTGACCTCCCCTCCCTCGCGCGCCTCGCCTGCGCCTCGCGCCACTTGCGCCACCTCATCCGCCTCCGCCGGTTGGCGCTCAAGCACCTCGCGCTTCCGCGCACCCTCCCCGCATGGGCCGCGCCGTCGCTGGTCGGGGCGCACGGGGGGCTCGAGTCGCTCAGTTTGCAGCGCCTGGGGCGCTGTGAGATGGATTTCCGTTCCGTGTTTGCTGCTGCTGCGGGGGTGGGGGAGAGGGGGGAGGTGTGGGGAGCGGAGGCGGGGGGGGCAGGAGGAGCGGAAGCAGGAAAAGAGGGGGGAGGGGTGGGGAGGCAGAGACAGGAGCAGCAGCAGCAGCAGCAGCAGCAGCAGCAGCGGCAGCAAGTGGTGGTTGGAGGGGTGGTTATGCAGCCCACTAGGTCTCTTCAGTCGATTTCATTGGCTGGCTGCGTCCACCTCAGCGACGCTGACGTGGCGTCCCTGTGCGCACTGCACCGCCGCCTGGCGTCCGTGGATCTGTCATCGTGCCGCCAGGTGACAGACGTGGCGCTGACGTGGCTGGGGCAGCACGAAAGGGAGGCAAGAGTAGAGGAGGAAAGCAACGGAATGACAGTCAGGGGGGAGGAACAGGATAGAGTAGCAACAGAGGCAACAGCAGTAACAGCGGCAGCAGCAGCAGCAAGTGATTGTGCTGGAACGGCATCAGCAGCGAGGGAGCAGCAGGGGCGGCGGCAGACAGTAACGAGTCAGCACCTGTCAGCAGCCTTGGGTGCCGCTCTCTCCTCTTGCACCCTCACCCACTCCTCCTCCACCACCACCACCACCACCACCTCCTCCTTCTCCTCCTTTAACCCACGCTCTTCACACTCCTCTCACTCCACGCGCGGCCTCACATCGATAAACATATCTGACTGTCCCCTCATCACCAACCGTGGCCTGCAAACACTCCTACGCGCCCCTCCCATCGCATCCTCCCTCGTTTCCCTCGACATCTCCTGCTGTGGCCTCATCTCCTCCGCAGGCCTCAACTTGCCTCACTCCCTCTCTTCTCTTCGCCACCTCTCTGCCTCTCATCTGCCGCTACTAGAGTCTCTCACCCTCCTCCTTCCACGCTCCTGCCCACTTGAAGAAATTTCATTCTCCTGCTGCCCGGTTCTTCAGAAGCTTACCATCCACTCGCGCTCGCTCCGCTCTCTCAACCTTGCGGGCTGCCGCAAGCTTTCCTCGCTTTCCCTGATCTGCCCGGCTCTCTCCTCCCTCATCCTCTCCCAGTGCTCCTCCCTTGAAACATTTTCCCCACCTGACCGCTGCCCGTCCTTAGCATCCCTAAACGCGTTCCTCTGCCGCTCCCTCCCTGCCTCCACCCTCACCACTCTCCTCACTCACGCCAAAGATCTAGAAGAGCTCAACTGTGGCGGCTGCGCGTTACTCGAGACCGTGCGGTTACCGCCTGTAACGCATGGGAAGTTAAGGAGAGTGCTTTTAGAAGGATGCCCTGTGCTGTCATCGGTAGTTGTGCCGGCTGCATCACTGCTTCTGCTGGACTGCCGCGGGTGCACTCAGCTTCGAGAGGTGCGCGTGCTTGAACACCCAGCCGTTGCTGCTGAAGCGGCTGCTGCCGACACTGCCGCCGCCGCTGCTGCTGCTGCTGCTGCTGCAGGCGTTGCTGGTGCAGCTGCTATGGCATCAGCAGTGGTGCCATCGCCATCGTCAGCACTGCCAACAGCAGCCGCAGCAGCACCAGCAGCAGGGTGCAGGCTAGGCCGTGTTCTCCTCACCAACTGCTCCTCTCTGCTGACCCTTGTTCTCCCGTACTCCTCCATTCGCCAGTCCATCCTTGCTGCTGCCGCCTGCAGCAAGTCTCGCACCACCACCACCGACGCAATGAGCAGTAGCAGCACCACCAGGAGCACCAGCAGCAGCAGTTATGGCTGCACCGGCAGCGGGTTGAGAGGGAATGGAGGGCAGGAGGGGGCGTGGAGGGATGTTGGATCTGGTAGTGGCGTGTGCAGTGGGGACGGGGGCCTTGCAAGGGCGAGTGGGGGCGGCAGAGGGGGTGAGAGGGGGGCCGCAGGGGTGGTGTTTGAGGCGAGTGTGAGTGGGTGCATTCTTCTGCCCCGTGAAACTCAGAGAGCGCTCAAGAGCCTGTGCCAGCTTGCACGGGCCACTGCGTGATGTGTGCCTGACCTGGGACGTGACTTACCGTATGACTCGTAGACTAGTGTACCTTGTTTTGTTTCGAGTCTTCCTTAGTCCTGATGCTCTACTAGCTAGTGTAAGAGTATATATAGGATCATCTGACATCTGGTCTGACCCCTGTGGTCCCTTTCAAACAGCAGCACTAGTAAACAGAAAGATAGATCCACTTCCGACAGTACCACATTATCAATCGATGAACCAATACGGTATGAACCGTAGATTCGTACACTACAACCAGCAACTGGCATACATGGGTTCTTCGAGGGTACCTTTTACGCGGTTGCAACAGACTGCTGATCACCGTGTCGTGTCATGACAACTATCAGCTTGAGTTGCCTTCTTAGACTCAACATTCATCCTCGTTATTGTCAGCTGGCGTTCTCAGTGGTGATCTTGTCGTAACATTGAATCACTCTTTTCCTCTCCTTACTGCTGCTCCTTTCAGCTGAACCCAATCCATACCACCAAAGCACAAGCTCATTACACCCTTTCAAGCACTCTCAAAACATACACAATCTCCTCTCATACTCCCTTCACGTAACAGCAAGCCCGCTGCTCTGCTTATCCGGGTGCAGCTGACCGCGGAAAGCGCCGTAGGGGAACTGCAGGGAGTAGGCCTGCACGTAGAAGCGCTGGGGGCGCAGAGCCATGGCGGCCGTGATATCAGGGTCTGCTGGCACGCACAGCTGCTGCCCGGGGATGATGCGCAGCGTCTGATACAGGTAGATGGGACCCCGCTTGTTCAACTCGCCCTGTGCAGCGATAGAGAAAGGAGGGGGAAAGGGGGAGGATGGAATGGTTTAGGTAATGTTACTGGAGCAGGTGTGCAGAAGAAGGGGGTTCGGGGGAGGGTGGCTGTTGTTTCCTGTGCATGATGGGCGGTGTGTGGTAGAGGAATATGGGACTACAACTGTTCATCTCTTCCTGGGGGCGACGCAGGTGGGGGAGTGCAGAGGTGGAGGGGTGGTTTGTACTGTCCCCGAACTTGAGAGATGGTCTGCTTGAGTCACTGTCACGAGGAGAGGAGGAGGTGCTGGAGAGGGAGGAGGGAGGTCAGCTGTCACACTGAGCTGTTGTGTGCTAGCACCGCACCTCCTCCCCTCGTGGATGAGGAGGTGGATGAGGAGTGGATGCGGGTTGACGGTAGACTGGATGGAGAGACGAAGAGGGGTTGCGTGAAGGGAAGAGTGTGGGGAATGGGTGGATGAGGGGGGGTTGGCACTTGTCAAAATAGGTGGTACCTGGTGCAGGTAGGCATAGTTGCAGTCGGTCTTGACAGAGGAGGAGAAGCGGAAGGTGTAGCAGATGCCGCCCCCGCCCAGCACTGCGTCAAAGAACCCCATGCCCGCTGCACCCGACCCCTGCCCCTGTGTCGTGGTGCCGGGGAAGTTGACGACACTGGCGCCGTACATCACTGCTGTCACGTGCATCGTATCCTGGAACTGCCCTCTCAGCGCGCCGACTGGGGAAGGGAGAGGGATGATGGAAGAGGGGGGGTGGGGGACAGGGGGGTGGAAGAGGGGAAGTTGACGACACTGGCACCGTACATCACTGCTGTCACGTAGAGCGTGACCTGGAACTGCCCCCTCAGCGCGCCGACTGAAAGGGCGAGATGAGGGAAGTCGTAAGGGTGGCAGGGAGGAGGAAGTTTACAGTGAGGACATGGGTGGACAAGGGCAAACAGGTCAGGAAAGTAGTGGGGGGCACGAGACGGGGAAGGAACATGAGGAGAATCTAACCAGCAGAAGCATGAAGAGGAGTGGTATATTGTGGAACGAAAGCAGAACATGTCGAGACCACAGTCACAGCGTAATACAGACATACAACATACGTGGCATTAGCTGCGTGGTCAAGTAGACGTAGTGTGCGTGGGACAAATTCTGCAGTGTCGTAAGTGATAAGTGAGAGGACTTTTTGGGGCTCCTCAAAGGCCAGTCACACGGCTGAACATACAGCACTACGGCACACTGGGCTACATACATGGCATGAGCTGCGTGGTGAAATTACATGTCCTTTGAGGTGCCTCAAAGGTTCACCACTGCGTGGTGTCTCAAAGGTTCACCACTGCGTGGTGTCTCAAAGGTTCACCACTGCGTGGTGTCTCAAAGGTTCACCACTGCGTGGTGTCTCAAAGGTTCACCACTGCGTGGTGTCTCAAAGGTTCACCACTGCGTGGTGTCTCAAAGGTTCACCACTGCGTGGTGTCTCAAAGGTTCACCACTGCGTGGTGTCTCAAAGGTTCACCACTGCGTGGTGTCTCAAAGGTTCACCACTGCGTGGTGTCTCAAAGGTTCACCACTGCGTGGTGTCTCAAAGGTTCACCACTGCGTGGTGTCTCAAAGGTTCACCACTGCGTGGTGTCTCAAAGGTTCACCACTGCGTGGTGTCTCAAAGGTTCACCACTGCGTGGTGTCTCAAAGGTTCACCACTGCGTGGTGTCTCAAAGGTTCACCACTGCGTGGTGTCTCAAAGGTTCACCACTGCGTGGTGTCTCAAAGGTTCACCACTGCGTGGTGTCTCAAAGGTTCACCACTGCGTGGTGTCTCAAAGGTTCACCACTGCGTGGTGTCTCAAAGGTTCACCACTGCGTGGTGTCTCAAAGGTTCACCACTGCGTGGTGTCTCAAAGGTTCACCACTGCGTGGTGTCTCAAAGGTTCACCACTGCGTGGTGTCTCAAAGGTTCACCACTGCGTGGTGTCTCAAAGGTTCACCACTGCGTGGTGTCTCAAAGGTTCACCACTGCGTGGTGTCTCAAAGGTTCACCACTGCGTGGTGTCTCAAAGGTTGCTCTCACACAGCGGTGCACACTACACCCAACACACTACACCCAACACACTACACCCAACACACTACATACATGGCATGAGTTGCGTGGTGAAGTAGATGTAGTGTGCTTGGGGCGCCGTCAGCAGCGACTGGATCGCCGTGACAGGTGGCGTGACGCCATTGGTGAAGGAGGGCGCGTTGGCGCCTGGCCAGAAGAAGTCAAAGAGGCGCGCACCGGACGAGCCTGCTACTCCCTGGATCACTGACGCGCCTATGATGCCCGCCACCCCTGATGAGTACGCGAATGAGTACACGATGCTGGGGAGTGGGGAGTGGGGAGTGGGGATTGATGAGAAAGGAGGGGACAGGATGCAGGTGAGGGGATGATGATGAAGCAGCACGTGTTGTAGGGAAATAGGCCGTCCATGATGCATGCTATGATGGGTGAGTAGGCACATGAGAACCATGATGCTGGGGTGTGGGGAGGAGGTGCAGAGGACATACTTGGTGGGCGAGATGTCGAGGTCCACAATGGCCATACAATCCCCGCTCGCGCAGCTCGTGGGCACGTTCCTGGACGTGGCAAGGCTGAACAGGTGCGGAGAGAACACCAGCTGCCCGCGCAGGCTGCCCGCAGGGGTATCCACCTGGATATAGAAATTATACGGCTCTAGAGTCATGCGCTGCAGCAGCCCCAGCGCCGTATCCACACGCCCTGTCCCGTCCGATCCCATCGTCTGGTTTGCCTGCGCTGCCAGCAGCGGCAGCGTCTGCGGCCCCTCAGAACCCATTATCGAATTGTACACGCTGGCCCCCGTTATTAGGAGTGGGGCAGTGGGAGCGGTGGAGGAGGAGGTGGAGGAGGCGGAGGAGGAGGTGGCGGGTGCGGAGGAGAGCTGGATGAGGAAGTTAACACCAGCCATGGCTGTCATGTTGGGCTGCAGGTCTAGTACTGCCACTCCGCGCCCGGACGGGGCGGCTGGAGAGAGTCGGAGGGGACGATTATGGTAAGATGGCAAGTGGGGACGAGGAAACGGGTGGGAGGATAAGTCGGTGGCGTGGGGAGTGGAGATGGAAGGGGGATAGTGGTGGAGAGGGAGATAGGGAGGGAGGCGACAACGACGTGGAGATAAGGAGGATCGGAACAAGAAGGACCAGTGCGAGAGCGGTTTGGGGCTTCAACAATGCAGCATGTGTGCGCTCAAGTTGACGCATGTTGAGGGGAGAAGGACGTTAAGAGGGGGGGACTGGGAGGAAGAGGAGGGGGGAAGTGGGAGGGGGGACGTGGGATGGGGGAAGAGAGGCGCGGGAAGGGGGGGCGTACCAGTGGAGTTGCCTGTGGTGACCACGTGCTGGGGCGTCAGCAACGCGTACAGAGTTGGCACGAACGTGCAGCGAGCGCCGTAGAAGCACTGCAGCAGGGTGCAGCGGCGAGGGGCACAAGGAGGGGGAGATACGGAGTGGCCCCGCAGGCAAGGGAGGAAAAGGAGTCAGTGGAAGTCTGTGGCGGAGGTGCTGGTGGGTGTGCTAGTGGGTGTGCTGGTGGGTGGGCTGGTGGGTGTGCTAGTGGGTGTGCTGGTGGGTGGGCTGGATGGTGTGCAGCGCTGGTGGGTGAGTGGGTGGGAACTGTGGGCAGGATGCTGATGGGCGGTGTGACGGAGGCATGACGGATGGGTGACGGGTGTACGAGACGAGAATGGTTTCGCGGGAACAAACGGAGGTTGCAGAGAATGACAGTGAATCACAACAGCAACAGCGGATCAAAAGGGGCGGGGTTGACCGGGGGCGGAAGAGTCGGGACGGCGGGGGAGGGAAGGGGATAAAGGAACGCACGTAAGAGTCGCAGTTTCGGACGTAGGCGACGCGGCGGTCGATCCCGGGGCAGATGCGAATCATCTGGCTGGCGATGGCGCTGTAGCAGTCGCACACCTGGTCCGGCACCTTCCACACGTTCCGCCGCAGCTGGTTCATGGCCGCCACGCACGTCGACACGTAGTCGCTGTAGCACGCGCCGTCGTACGGGAGCGCGGAGCACACGCGGCACACGTCCATGATGTTCGTCATCACTCCCACGTTCGGCACGCGCACTGCGCGGGGGAACGGGCAAGAGGAAGTAAAAAGTGGGCGAGATTCTGAAAGAAAGGGAGAGAGGTACAAGAAGATCGATGTAAACAGCGCGGGGGAAAAACAATGATATGTTGCGGGTAGGAAGGTGTGGCGAGTGAACCATACCGTCTCCTCCCAGACCTGCTTCTCTCTCTTAAGTCTCTCTCAAGTAACACATTCACAACCAGCTCGCTTCTACCTCCCTTAGCAATCCAGGTCATCAATTTGCGAGCGCGAAAGCGAGAACGGCACGGAGCCCTGACTCACGGGCAGGAGGAGCAGGAGGATAGGGCGGCGGCGGCACATCAGGGGGGATGTTCTTCATGCTGGAGTACGGCCATGGCGGCTGCTGCACGGCCGCAATCGGCGTCAGCCGGAGAGGAGCCGGCGGCGGCTTTACTACCGGCTTGACGGGAGACTTGGGTGGCGGAACCTGCGGTGGTCTGGCAGGTGGCTTGGCCGGCGGCTTTGCCGGTGGTTTTGCTGGCGGAGCGGCAGTCAGCTTCCCAACGGGAATCGGAGGATTTTTCTTCAGCACTGGTGCTGGTGTTTTGGTTGGCGTCTTAACTGGCGCTTTGGATGGTGGAGGCTTCTTAACGCTGGCGGCTTTAGTGGTAGCATAGATGGATTTGGGCATGGGTGGTGGTGTGGGTAGCTTGGCGGCGACTTGTATGGGTGGCTTGGTGGCTTGTGCATGTGGCTTAGCGGCTCCTGTGGAGAGGAAGGAGGATGCAGCCCCCTGCAATGGCTGTACACCTACATGTAGACTCTGACCGAATGCACCTGGCCGGGATGGAAAGGCATGCAAAGTAGGTAAGGAGGAAGGAGAGGGAAGGAGGAAAACATGAAGAGAATAGGAAATGGGAAGCAGCATGCTTCCAATGGTGGTTTGTATCAAGCAGCCTAGACAACTGAGATGATCAGAAATGGGGCATACCAGTGATCGACTGGCGAATCCAAGCACAAAAAGTACAGGGTCAGCGATCGCGATCTGGTGAAATCATAAGAGCGTGAGCTAGCGGAGCAAACGTGTTCGAGCTAGTCTGAATGACGTACCCGACGTGCACACTTGAAAAATAACCAGGATCAGTGTTGCGCCCGCAATGGCCGCATAGTTACTCCGCTGTGGCGTCGCCGGGCCCATTGTCGCGTCCTGGCACTCTCAAACACCTATTGAAAGGAGAGACTGCTTTTGCTTTGAGAATCTTGGGCCTGGTTCAAAGTCGCCTCCTGCTACTCTCACTCTGTTCCAGCATCAGCAGTCTGTGTGATGCATCTTCCGACTGAACTGACGACTGGATTTAGTATCATCCACGCTCGGAAACGCGCCTGATCCCTGGGGGATTTCAGGAAACCGCCGGGTGATGGTCGGTCTGGACGAGCCGCCACCAAGCCACGGCGAGTTTTTGAAATCGTGAATGAGAGTGGACAACTCTGGGATGTGTGTGTGAGGAAAATACGAAGGGGCACTCCCGTGAGGAAGGAATGGGGTGGTTTTTTTTTTGGGGGGGGGGGGGGGGGGGGGGGGGGGTGAGAGGGGAGGGGAGGAGGGGAGGAGGGGTGTCTTCTCACTGGTCTTCCCTCCAACCCTTCAATCACCAGCCTTCCCTCACTCCCCTCCTCCCCAAGTGTGGTGATTCTGAGGGAAAATCGCGCCAGGATTGGGGGAATGTGTAGTTCCCAAGGTGGCCCTCGTGAGTCGAAATTTGCAGCTTGGTTTTGCCCTTGCAACTTCGGTTTTGGCGGACCGACGTCGGTTCGGTTGGGATTTTTGGGAAATGGCACCGAGGTGTGGCGCCTGGCTGGTTAGTTCGGGTGACGGTGAGATCTGACGGACGGCGAGTATGGACAAGGGAGGGTGGTCCGAGATTTCGTGGCCCGGATGTGAGGTGTAATTTTCGCGCCAGAAATTATTGTGGCTTTGGTTGCTGATTGGCAGCTAGGAATATTGAAAACGCGAGATTGCAAGCAACAACGACGGCTGTCAGACAGATTATTGTGAGACCAATCAGACTAGTCTATTCGTCAGGTGCTTCCCCAATGCGATACAATTGCCGACGCTCATAGCAAGACGGTATACAGAAAAGAGAATCCGCTCATCTATACATTTATGGACACTAAATACCTCCAGATAATGTGGATGACCCACTCTAGTTATTTCAAGCAAGCTAAGGAAGAATAAACCCCACCCTTTGCCAGCAACTCCTCGTGTTTCCCTTCCTCCACAACACTACCATTCTGAAGCACTACAATTTTGTCAGCATGTACAATGGTCGACAACCTATGTGCAATGACTACAGTGGTGCGATTCTTCATCACCTTTTCCAGTGCTGTCTGCACCACCTTCTCGCTCTCCGCATCCAGGGCTGACGTAGCCTCATCCAGCAGCAGCAGGCGCGGGTCACCAATGATGGCGCGAGCGATGGCAATGCGCTGCTTCTGCCCGCCGGAGATCTGCACGCCTCGCTCTCCCACCAGCGTGGCGTACCCCTGCGGCAGCCCCGAGATGAACCCGTGCACATTCGCCGCCCGCGCTGCCTCCACAATCTCCGCCTCGCTGATCTCCCCCCCGCTGGCACCGCCACTGCCGGCGCGGCCGTACGCGATGTTGTCGCGGATGGAGATGTTGAAGAGCGCGGGCTCCTGGCTGACGAGCCCCATGTGTTGGCGCAACCAGCGCAGGTTGAGTGCGGCGATGCTGCGGCCGTCCAGCAGCACGGCTCCGCTCTGCGGGTCGTAGAAGCGCTCCACCAGCGCCACCACCGTCGACTTGCCGCTGCCACTCTCCCCCACCAGCGCCACCGTCTGCATGGGAATATCGGGAGAAGGGGGTAGCAGGGACGAGGGAGCAAGGGACATTGAAGAGAAAAGTGTGGGGAGGGGAAGGGGTTGGAGGCGGTGGGTTCAGTAAGAACACATAATGGACATGATTCATCTTATGAAACTGTCCATCTGCACTGAATTTGCTGCGCAATGTACCTCTACCATTCTGCAATTCAGTCCCACACACCTGGCCTGCTGTAACGACCAGGTTGAATTCCTGAAGCACAACAACACTGGGGCGAGCCGGGTACGCGAAGCACACGGCGTGGAACTGCACCTCGCCCAGCACCTCCTCGGGCTCCTCCCCTCCCGCCTCCGGGTCAATCTTTGACTGGCGGTCCAAAATGCGGAATATGGAGTTCACTGCTGTCTGAACCGTGGCCATGTCTGGGGCCAGTGCGGACTGCTTTGCCACGCTCATTGCTGACATGGCTATGGCGAAGAACACCTGGCGAGATAAGGTGGGAGGGTGGATGAGGCAGGTCGCTGGAGCATAGAGCATGGTGTATGGTACATGGAGCACAGAGTAAAGTGCATGGAGAGTGGGGCCTGCACATGTGCATGGCGCATGATGGTGCAAAGGTGCACGGAGCATGGAGCATTGTGCATGGTGCATGGTGCATGGAGAATTGTGTTTGGTGCATGGAAACAGCTGCACATCGTTTATGGCCAATGGAGCCTCGAGCACAGCACACACACGTGGCACGCACCTGGAAGACATCAGTGAAGGTCGCATAGCCCCATTCCACGAGCTTCCCCCCAAACCAGAACGACAGCGCGTACACCGCAAAGATGGCAAACTGCCCAAACGCCAGCCCGGCGCCGCTGACGTGGGCCTTGCGGATGCCGGCCCGGATGGGCGTGCTGCAGCGCTCGTTGTACAGCTCCTGCACGCGCTGCTCCGCTCCAAACGCTGCCACCGTCCGCATCGCACCCACCGCGTCATTCGCCACGTGCGACGCCTCCTGAAACTGCTCCTTGGCATCATCTGCGAACCCCTGAATCGCCCGAATCTGCATCGTCCCTGCGATCGCCAGCAGTGGTATCAGAGCGAGCACCAGCAGCGACAGCTGCCAATTGGCTCGAAACGCGATAACCAAGCCCGTGCAGAGCGTTGCGGTGTTTTGCACGATCAAGGCTAGCTGATCCCCCACCATGTTCCGCACTTGCGCAGCATCAGTAGCAAGCCTGGCCCCAATAGCCCCACTCGAGTTCTCCTCCATGTCAAACCACCCGATATCCTGCCGCAGCACCATGGCAAAGCACATGATCCGCACGCGGCGGATGAGCGCGTTCCCCACAACGCCGAAGAACATGTACTGGAAGAAGGAGGTCACGCACGCGGAGGCCCCCAGCACCACGAAGAGAGACGCCCAGAAGTCCGCGTCGCTGCGCATCTTGGTGAGGTCGGGCTGGTAGAATGTGGTGATGATGTTGGAGAGGATGAGCGCGAAGAACGGGATGATGAAGCCGTAGCATGCGGCGAAGATGGTGCCCACGAGCGCGTACGGCCACTCGGGCTTGTTGAGGGTCGCCAGGCGGATGATCGACGTGTGCTTCTTCTCCTTCTTCTCCTCCTCATCCCCCTCCTTCTCCTCCGCACATGCCTCTTCCTTCGCTTCGGTCCCCTTGTGGACCTCTCCGTTCCCTGTCCTCCCTCCCTTCAATCCCATCTGCATTCGCACCAGCCTGCTACAGAAGCCCGTACGGCCTTTCCCTTCCCCTCCCGGCTCTCCCTGCTCGTCTCCATCCCCACTCTCCACGTCCCTTCCGTCTCTCATCCGCTCACCTGCCTGCTCCCCTTCCGTCCCCTTCGTCCCACCATCACCAGTCGTGGCTACACAACCAGCACCTGCCGGCACTCCTTCCGCCTCTGCTTCGCCCTGTAATCCTCCTTCCGGTGAGACTAAGCCCTCCTTCTCATCAGCACCAGCGCGACTCAAACTCGAACCCTGCTTCTCATCCCCCTCCACCTTCTCATCTCCCTCCACTCCCCCTCCGCCTCCCTCGTCCCCCTCCCCCTTCCCCTCTCCCCCTCCCTCCCCCGCGAGTTGCTGCAGGCGGACGAGTTGGGCGTAGGCGCCTTGGGGCTGGGCGAGCAGCGCGGCATGGGTGCCGGTCTGCACGACCTGCCCCCGCTGCAGCACGGCGATGCAGTGCGCGCGGCGCACGGTGGAGAGGCGGTGGGCCACCACGAGCGTGGTGCGTGCGCCCATGATCGCATCGAGTGCTGCCTGCACCGCCTGCTCGCTCTCCGCGTCCAATGCGGACGTCGCCTCGTCCAGCAGCAGCACCCGCGGATTCCGCAGAATCGCCCTCGCGATCGCCACCCGCTGCTTCTGCCCCCCCGACAGCTGCGTTCCCCTCTCCCCCACCTGCGTCTCGTAGCCCTGAAGAGGGGACGGTGAAGCAAAGGGCGGAAGCGAGGAGATTGGACGAAGGATAGATGGCAGCAGAAGCAGCGTGCGGAGGCGACAAGAAACGAGCAGAGTCACACACGGCACAAGCGAAAGAGAGTGCATATGGGGTGAAACGGAGAGAGATAGAGGGCGATAACGGGTTGTAAAAGCGTGCAAGAGGGAGGGAGGGAGCGAGAGGGCGCACGTTAGGCAGCGAGGAGATGAATTGGTGGATGTTGGCGAGGCGTGCGGCCTCTTGAATCTCCTGGTCGGTGGCACCCTCCCTGCCATAAGCGATGTTCTGGCGGATGCTCGTGCCGAAGAGCGCGGGCTCCTGGCTGACGAGCCCCATGTGTTGGCGCAGCCAGCGCAGGTTGAGAGCGGCGATGCTGCGGCCGTCCAGCAGCACAGCTCCGCTCTGCGGGTCGTAGAAGCGCTCCACCAGCGCCACCACCGTCGACTTGCCGCTGCCACTCTCCCCCACCAGCGCCATGGTCCGCCCCGCCGGCACTGCCAGGCTGAAGTTCTGGAAGATGGGCACGTCTGGCCGCGACGGGTATGCAAACGTCACCTCGCGCAGCTCCAGCGCCCCCTCACACGTCGCTGGGCGCTCCCCCTCTGCGCTGCCGCTGTCTATTGGAGGTTGCCTCTCCAGCACCTCAAAGATCTTCCCCGCTGCCGCTTGCCCTGAGGCGAAGGCTGTTACTTCTGGTGCTACCTGTCCCAGAGATCTGCGGGAAGGGCAGGGGCGAGGGTGAAAGAGGGGAAGAAGAGGGAATGAGTTGTCCCCCCTCATTCCCACACTGACTAGCCCCCGTCCTCACTCTGACAACCCCCCATCCTCACACTCACAACCCTCAATTCTCATTCTCACACTCACAAACCCTCATTCCCACGCTCACAACAACCCCCCATCCTCACACTCACAACCCCCCATTCTCACACTCACAGCCGCCCCAAAACACACACACTCCCATCACAACCCTCCCAAAGCACAGACTCACACGCCGCCGATGATAACTCCAAAGAGCACGGTGAAGACATCCCCTCCCGTGTACCCGGCATCGGCGATCATCTTGGAGCCGTACCACAGTGCGAGCGCGTACGAGGAGAACATGATGAACACCGTCACGCCCAGTCCCGCCCCCGCCGCTACTGACTGCTTCACGCCCTCGCGAAACGCCTTGTTGAGCTTCAACGAGTACTGCTGCACCGCCCTGTGCTCGCCCGTGAATGCCGCCACCTGGGAGGGGAGGGGGGAGGGGAGGGGTGGGTGGGTGTGGTATGGAGCGAGAGAGCATAGAAGGAGAGTGTTGTTGTAAGGAACATGGAAGCAGGGAGGAGAGTAGTGTGGGGGTGAAAGGGTTTGCGGGGAGAGGTGCCAGGGAAAGAGGTACAGAGGAAGAGAACGTGCTTGTGCAGTGTTGGTCATAATCCACAGGAGATGCAGAATGGCGTTACTGTCATGGTGATGTTACCATGTGTTGTAACATGAGCAAGAGCAAGCGCATTCTACAAACCCGCGCTGCTGGTGAATAAGCCCCATGTACAGGCATGCTCTGCTCTGCTCTGCTTGCAGCGCTTGGGTTGGAACCTAATACTCTGCGGTTACATGAGACCTCATGAGCCAGATGGGGCCAGATGGAGCCGAATGGGGCCCGGAAAGGGCACGATGCCACACCACGAATCACCTGAAGCTCACCGTGCGAATGGCGGAGACACACTCCTCCACGATCACCCCAGCAGCGCCGTACGCGAGCTGCCCCTTGGAGGAGGAGATGGAGATCATGAGTGCCATCATGGCGCCCGCGCCCGCGAGCAGAGGCAGCGTGGCGAGCATGAGCAGCGCCAGCTGCCACCCCGCCAGGAATGCGATGATGAACCCGCCCGCGAACTGCGCCATGTAGCGCAGGAACGAGCCCACCTGGGAGTGGGTGGAAGGAGGAGGGGTTTGAAAGAGGAGGGGTTTGAAAGAGGAGGGGATGGGGGAGGGAAGAAGGGAACAGTTAGGGAAGATATTTCTGACGGGGCAAGAACGCGATGATGACGCTCCTGCCCAGCTGCGCCATGTAGTGCTGGCACGAGTCCCATCAGGACCTGGGGACGGGGGTGTGGGGAGGGAGCAGGAGGGGCTGGGCCGAGAGGCAAGGGGAGGGGATAGGGGCGGGAGAGGAGGGGAGAGGGGAATTGTGGTCTGATGAGGGGTTTGAGACTCGAGTGCACAGGTCGCAAGAAGCCCATGTGGAGCAGATGGTACCGACGAAGAGATTAGCAGAGAGGTGTGTGAGGCCGGGGAGTTGAATTGCCAACTTGAGACAATAAAATTCCTTTCTCTACCCATGCCCACATCCGCCTTCCCTTTGCCCACACGGCCTCATACGCCCTCTCTCCTTACTCTGCCCACCTGCACCCCGCTACCACTGTGCGTGCACCTCCCCTCCCTGCCCTGTGCACGCACCTTCTTCCCACCCCATGCCCATGCCCATGGCGTCCTGCACTCACCTTCTCACCCATGGTGTCCTGCACGCACCTTCTCGCCCATGGCGGCCTGCACGCACCTTCTCGCCCATGGCGGCCTGCACGCACCTTCTCGCCCATGGCGTCCTGCCCTTTACCTTTTCCCCCATGGCGTCCTGCACGAGCACGATGTCGCCCGACATGTGCCCGATGACCTCGCCCGTGCTGAGGCGCCGGTCGAAGTACGCCATGTCCTGCCGCAGCACCGCCGCCAGGTACCGCCGCCGCACCCGCGCCGCCTGCCGCTCGCCCGTCGTCATCCAACACGCCATCTCTGCCCACGCGCGCACGGCACGGCACGCACACGGGGACGACGGCGGGGTGGGGAGGAGAGAGGATATGTGGGTGGGCAGTGGGACGGGAGAGGTGGGGGAAACGTTTGTTGAGTGAAGTCTTTGGAAGGCTAAAGAACGGGAGGGATGATGGAGGAAAACAACCATGTTTGAGAGCTACAGGTGGGTGAACGAAGTGAAACGAGTGGCTAAGCATGAAGGGACGGGGAAGCGGGGCGGAGGGGGGAAGTGGAGGGGAACGCTGGCGTGGTGCATAGGTGATATGATGAAGAATGAACAGTGAAAGAAAGAGGTACGAAGAAATGTTATGGAAGAAAGAACATTGAAGAAATATGAATGAAGAAATGTTAATGAAGAAAGGGCATTGAAGATTTATAAATGAAGAACGAGCAATGAAGAAAGAGAGTGCGTGCACTATGCAGCTCTGCACTCACCAATGTAACCTGCAACACCTGCGCCTATAGCCAGGTATACAAACTTAATGGCCACCTGCGGAGCAATCAGCGAGAAGTTCAGGCAGCACGGAGGGGATTGCAATAAGAAGGCAGAAAAGGGACAGTCATTAGGTGCAGTTTCATGCCAACACGGCTCTCAGAGACCCTCCTCGGCCTTCACGGAGAACTTAACTGGGTGGGGGACAAGGTCAGGCTGGTGTGTACAGCGTCTCAAAAGGCATCGCTGGCTTTCCAAACCCCACCGCATCACACACAACGCTCCCATATACCCTGATGTCCGGACTGCAAAGGTTCTGACGAACAATGCTTAGTATTATCCACTTGTCTGGCCGCTGAAACACCGAAGAATGCATCAATTTCATCCGTGAATCCCCGTCAGTCGAATTCCCGTCACAATCAATCCCCTAGCAGTCGGCCTCCATAGTAATCAAGTCCTTTAATCGACTCCCCGAAACTACTGGTCCCCTCGTTCATCTCTCCCCCTCCCCGCCCTTTCCCCCCTTTTCTGCCCCAAGCACGCACGTCAGTGACGGCGTCGAGCAACGCGGAGGGGTCGGCGGAGTTCTGTCCGAACGCGTCCGTGAGGTCGCCGAAGAGCAGCGAGATGAGCGGAAACGCGACGCCCAGCCCTATGGCGGCCGTTGACCCGCACAGCATGAGCAGCACGTCCCACCCGTCCGCGAACTTGAAGAGCTCCCAGAAGTGAACCTTTCGTACGGCTTCTAAATCATGTTCCTCGCTTGAATCACCTGGGACCTTCTTCTCTTCTGTTTCTTCCTGCTTTGCTGGATCTGCTTGGTAAGACTTCGCGCCATCGGTGTGGTCGGTATCCTTGGCTACGACTACTAGCTTACTACTATCTTCGTCAGCTTCGCTCTCATCCATGATTTCAAACATTTACGCTCGTCAATACAATCAGCTGTTCCTCGATGCCTTTCTGTGAAGTGACCCGAAGCCTTGACGTTGGCTAAATGGAGGACAAGATTAGTACCACGCTGAGCTGAAAAATGTCACGGGAGGTGCTGTGATAGAAGAAATTTTGGAACAAATCTCTCGAGAAAGAGAAAGCTTGAAAATGGACATGGCTGGCAAGCAATATTGGCTGGACCTTGGGAATGTCACACCACTATTGATTTTGTTACTCGGGAGTCGGGAATTTCCCGATCCGACCCGACTCGAAATCATTTCCGAGTCGCCCCAACTGTTGTCAGGACATGGAGGGCAGAAGAATCATGCCAATTCCAGCCCATCGTACTTGCTGACATCGTTGAAGAGCACGTGGCAGATGACGCATGGGTTCTTCGCTGGGTGTGGGTTGAAAGCTGACACGACATACGTACGCTAGTTAGGGCGTGTCCGAAGTGCCCCTCGACATCCATCAGTCATCCATCCGTCATCGGATGGATGACGGTGGCGGATGACGGGGGATGACGGATGGATGACGGTTGGATGTCGAGTCACTTCGGACACACTGCCGGCGACATAACTGCCCAGAAAAATGCCGGCCGGCACTGCTGGCGCCGGCAGGGGCAGACCAGAGAAAATGTTAAATGTTCAAATCTGAATCTAACGAATTTCGCTAACATGTTTCGTCACCCCGTGCAGTCACAAAGGACGGTCGTTTGCCAAGGGATACTTTCGCCATGTTTCCCCCTCAAAATTTGTTATCAAACTTTGGGTTCGTTGACTGCCTCGTTGACCAGCCCGATGTCAATGTTGGCGGCACCCTTGACTGTAATGATTACACATGGCTGGATGACGGATGGATGTCGGTCGGATGTCAAATCACTTCGGACACAACGCCGGCTTGTAAATTCTCACCTACCAACCCTGACATCCGTCGACATCCGTCGACATCCATCGACATGTTACTTCGGACACGCCCTCATCTTCCCCACCTGGGCTATTGATTGCTTTTATAGTGTCTTCAGAAACTGCTGCTGGCCAATCCTGGTGGAGCCAGATTGCGTGGCGAGGACGAGAAGTGTGTCATCGATGTTACGACAAACATGCGTCAGACGATGCCACCAATCGATGTTGGCAGCTGAAACTCTGTTGTCCACACATCAACCTCAATAGCTCTGGTAAATCCAAACAGAAGACTTCGTATGACGTCATACGACATCCCTCGCGGCTTTCTCAGGCAGTTACCATATAACCACGAAGCGGTACCTGCCCTTCACGCCACGCAGTGCCTCCAGTAAAGCGACGTGGCGAGGAGGGTAAAATATCTCCATGGCCTCCAGTGGTCTTTCTGGGAAATGATCAGATTGGGGCCCCAGAGCTCTAGCAAAGTCTCAAGATTGGGGCCTTGTGTTTCGCAAAGAGTCGAGCCTGGGCCGGACCTATGCCCAACCAATTTCGAGCCTCATCCACGCGCTCCGTCAGACCTGACCACACTAGGTGACGAATTCTCCATTGACGACATCGAAAAATTTGACTCGACATTTAGAAAATGGCGAATTTTCCTCTCGTGCGTTATGCCTTCGAAGGGGCCTCAGCCATAAACATATTGCCGCTCAGTGTTTAGGGTTGATGCTTCCCCAATTGTATGCCATCCGAATGGGGTTTATTTTTTGTACCATTGCGATGTTGTTTTATTTGGGGTTAAACGATTGTTTTTCTGGGTAATATTCGATGACGAGGCACTAGCGAATTCTGTCAAACCCAGGCCAGTAGGTGGTGACCTGGCGAGTAGGCCAGGCTCGGCCTAACTGCCCAGGTGTGTTGGTTGCTTCGGGGCTTCGTGGTAGGGACGCGAATCACAAGGCCCCAACTGGGCCACTGTACTGCTACTCTGGGGCCCCTGTCTGATCTTCTCCCGGTCTTTTTTCTGCTCCGTCATTTCGATGTGCACTTCTGCTCCAGTTTGGTTTTCTTAGCACCAACGATTAATGTATTGGCAGCAGAAGTCCATTTTACTGCCTTTTTGTGTCCCTATGAATGCAAAACTTGAAAACGTTTTGGGGATTAAACATAACCTGCGGTATCCGTACCAGCACCGAGCTGGTCGGTGAGGTTCGGCATGGACAACTCCGCAAGTTCCGCTTCCCTTGGTGGTGCCTCCACGAAACTCCCAAGACCACGCGAGTGTGCGATGTACCTGTTCTGTATTCTTTCCCGCCATGCCACGCCGCTTCACCACTGACAAGCACCCAGTGCTCCATCCAGCAATGCACAGCCCTATTCGCTGGCCTTGCTGGCACGCGGCCTTTCTGCTCACTCAGCCCTCGCACTTTACGCATAGAAAGGTATCCAAATCAGCCTGCTTTCCATATGCCTGCCATGCCAGCCACATCCTTCTAGCACAGTAACATTTAGATCGCAAGACTGTACGCGACATCTCCATCTGATCTCAACTGAGGCCAATAACACGGTTAGACCATAACAGTGCCAACTCAGTTCTTAATGCATTAGTTGCAGGCGGAGTGTGTTTCATTCACTGTCTTCTTGGCGCGGTTCGACAAAGCAATCATGGGATCGGATTTCGAAGCCCTTCGTGAATCGGAAGACAATGGCCGTCAAGCCCAAGCCGATGAAACTTCAGATCCTTCATCCGCTACAGATACTTCCGCCGAGAAGAAACGCGAGGGGGTGAGCGCAGCCAACGGCGAGGCGTTAGAACCAGGCGATGAAAAGAAGCTAGCAGAGAGCAAGGAAGAGGTGAAGGAAGAGGACGTACCGCCGGTGTATTACTGGCAACTGTTCAAGTTCGCGGACAAATGGGACATTCTGCTCATGATCGTGGGATCCGTGAGCGCCGTCGGGCTCGGCATGGCCATGCCCATGATCTCGCTGCTCTTCGGCGAGCTAACGAACGCATTCGGACAGAACACCACCGACGTCAATAAGCTCATGGACGCCGTCACCAGTGTGAGTCCCATGCTCTAACTCACTCTGTTCTTAACTTGGCTTTATCTTGCCCTCTCTTCCACTGTTGATGACGAGAGACTGAAGCACTCTTGCTTCTCAACCGCGTCCTTTTCGCAAAAGCCTTTACTACTCGACAAGACGAGACGACACTCACAGTGCTCTCTCCGTTTTACGGGATTTTCATTGTTCCCCCGCGAATCTGTTTTTTTTTCTCTCTCTCTATCGCTCTCTTTTCCGTGAACTCTCCAGGTCGCGCTCAAGTTCCTTTACTTGGCCATTGGAGCCGCCGCGGCCGCATATCTCGGTTCGTGCACGCATCTTCTCGTTCTCTTTTGATTCCCGCTTTCCCGCCTTCTTTCCCGCCATTGCGCTATAACGTCGCTCCGCTTTTGCCCCATCGTGATTTTCTGATCACCGTGTTTCCTCTCCGCTTCTTCTCCAACCAACGGCAACCAATTCACCCTTCCTCCCCGCCGTCGTCCCCGCGTGCGTGCCGTGCCGTGCGCGCGTGGGCAGAGATGGGGTGTTGGATGACGACGGGCGAGCGGCAGGCGGCGCGGGTGCGGCGGCGGTACCTGGCGGCGGTGCTGCGGCAGGACATGGCGTACTTCGACCGGCGCCTCAGCACGGGCGAGGTCATCGGGCACATGTCGGGCGACATCGTGCTCGTGCAGGACGCCATGGGGGAAAAGGTAAAGGGCAGGACGCCATGGGCGAGAAGGTGCGTGCAGGCCGCCATGGGCGAGAAGGTGCGTGCAGGCCGCCATGGGCGAGAAGGTGCGTGCAGGCCGCCATGGGGGAGAAAATGAGTGCCGTATCCCCCGCGCCTCCGCAGGTGGGCATTTTCCTCCGCTTTTGTCGCAGTCAGAAGGCACGTTCATAAACCCCTTTCTGCTTCTACCAGCCCTCTCAGTCACGCCCTTCGCTCTCCCTCTCCCCGCCTCCCCCACCCCCTCGCCCGCCCCTCCCCCACAGGTGGGCATATTCCTGCGGTTTATGGCGCAGTTCGTGGGCGGGTTCGTGGTGGCGTTCATCGCGGGCTGGCAGCTGACGCTCGTGATGCTCGCCGTGCTGCCGCTGCTGGCCGCGGCAGGCGCCGCCTTGACGGTGATCGTGAGCAAGTCGTCCAACAAGGGCCAGGAGGCGTATGCTGCTGCGGGGACCATTGTGGAGGAGTGTGTCTCCGCCATCCGCACTGTCAGTGCCCGCCCTCTCTCCCGCCCTCTCTCCCGCCCTCTCCCTCTCTCCCCTTCATGCTTTCCCTACTCTTTTCCCTTTGCTCGTCCTCCTTCTGTACTCCGCCTTTTTCCGCCTCCACTTTTGCCCCTCTTTCTTCCCGCCCTCGCTCTCTCTCTCTCTCTGTCGCTCTTCCCTGTCTTATCTCACCCGTCCATGCTCCCACATCTCCCACACGTGCGTTTGAGTCGACTCAAAGCACCCCTCCCACGCCTCCCACATCTCCCACTCCTCCCTCCCACCCATGTGCCTCAGGTGGTGGCATTCACGGGCGAGCACAGGGCGGTGCAGCAGTACACAGTGAAGCTCAACAAGGCGTTCCGAGAGGGCATGAAGCAGAGCGTTGGCGCAGCGGCGGGTATCGGGTTCACGGTGCTCATCATGTTCTCCTCGTACGCGCTCGCGCTGTGGTACGGCTCCAAGCTCATTGCCAACGCCAGCTACACCGGTGGAGACGTCTTCACGGTTCTCTTCGGCGTGCTCATTGGCGGCATGTGAGTGCTCATTGGCGGCATGTGAGTGCTCATTGGCGGCATGTGAGTGCTCATTGGCGGCATGTGAGTGCTCATTGGCGGCATGTGAGTGCTCATTGGCGGCATGTGAGTGCTCATTGGCGGCATGTGAGTGCTCATTGGCGGCATGTGAGTGCTCATTGGCGGCATATGAGTGCTCATTGGCGGCATGTGAGTGCTCATTGGCGGCATGTGAGTGCTCATAGGCGGCATGTGAGTGCGGTGGGAGAGAGGGAGTGAGGGAGGAGTAGCGAGTGCTCATTGCCGATGCTAGCTACACCGGAGGGGACGCTTTTACCACGCTCTTCGGCATGCTCATTGGCGGCATGTGAGTGCTGTGGGAGGGAGGACGGGGGGTGGAGAGGGAGGGAGCGAGGGAGGAGTAGCGAGTGCTCTTGCCGTGCTATTGCCGTGCTCTTGGCGGCATGTGAGTGATGAGAGAGGGGGACGGGGGAGAAGAGGGAGTGGGGGGAGAGTAGGGAGTGGGAGAAGAGGGAGTGGGGATAAGTAGGTGTGAGTGCTCTTTGCCGTTTTCACCGTGGTGTTCAGGTTCTCAGCTCCTGCCCGTTATCCCCCACCCCACTCCTCGCCTCTCCTCTCCTCTCACCCCCGCAGGTCGCTGGGGCAAGCAGCCCCCAACGTGTCAGCCTTCGCATCAGGGCAGGCGGCAGCGGGGAAGATCTTTGAGGTGTTGGAGCGACAGCCGGTGATAGACAGCGGCAGTGCAGAGGGGGAGCGCCCAGCGACGTGTGAGGGGGCGCTGGAGCTGCGCGAGGTGACGTTTGCATACCCGTCGCGGCCAGACGTGCCCATCTTCCAGAACTTCAGCCTGGCAGTGCCGGCGGGGCGGACCATGGCGCTGGTGGGGGAGAGTGGCAGCGGCAAGTCGACGGTGGTGGCGCTGGTGGAGCGCTTCTACGACCCGCAGAGCGGAGCTGTGCTGCTGGACGGCCGCAGCATCGCCGCTCTCAACCTGCGCTGGCTGCGCCAACACATGGGGCTCGTCAGCCAGGAGCCAGCGCTCTTCGGCACGAGCATCCGCCAGAACATCGCTTATGGCAAGGACGGCGCCACCGACCAGGAGATTCAAGAGGCCGCACGCCTCGCCAACATCCACCAATTCATCTCCTCGCTGCCTAACGTGCGCCCTCTCGCTCCCTCCCTCCCTCTTGCACGCTTTTACAACCCGTTATCGCCCTCTATCTCTCTCCGTTTCACCCCATATGCACTCTCTTTCGCTTGTGCCGTGTGTGACTCTGCTCGTTTCTTGTCGCCTCCGCACGCTGCTTCTGCTGCCATCTATCCTTCGTCCAATCTCCTCGCTTCCGCCCTTTGCTTCACCGTCCCCTCTTCAGGGCTACGAGACGCAGGTGGGGGAGAGGGGAACGCAGCTGTCGGGGGGGCAGAAGCAGCGGGTGGCGATCGCGAGGGCGATTCTGCGGAATCCGCGGGTGCTGCTGCTGGACGAGGCGACGTCCGCATTGGACGCGGAGAGCGAGAAGCTGGTACAAGCGGCGCTCGATGCGCTCATGGGCGCGCGCACCACGCTCGTCGTGGCCCACCGCCTGTCCACCGTGCGCCGCGCGCACTGCATCGCCGTGCTGCAGCGGGGGCAGGTCGTGCAGACCGGCACCCATGCTGCGCTGCTCGCCCAGCCTGAAGGCGCCTACGCCCAACTCGTGCGCCTGCAGCAGCTGGCGGATCCGGGCCATGGGGAGGGGGAGGAAGGAGGAGATGAGAAGGGAGAGGCGGTTGTGAATGGGGAGGGGAAGGAGGGTGTAACTTCGAGCGCTTTCCAAACAGTTGCGGAGAATGGGAAGGCAGCGGGAGCAAGGGTGGCCCCGGTTGAGGGTGCTAGTACTGTTGATGGGGACGGTGTTGGTGGTTTGAAGATGGCGGGAGGGGACGAGGAGGATGGGTTGATGAGCGAGGGGAGAGATGTGGAGAGTGGTGCGGTGGAGAAGCAGGGTGAGAAGGCAGGCAGTGTGGGCTTTTTCAGCTCACTGCTGCGGAGGCGCAAGGGAGGGAAGGGCGAAGGGAAGGCTGGGAAGGGAGGAAAGGAAGGAGAGGGAGGGGACGGTGAGGAGGAGGAGGAGAAGAAGAAAGTAGCATTCAAAGACACCCCAATGGCTCGTCTGGCCATGCTGAACAAGCCCGAGTGGCCGTATGCCATCCTCGGATCTGTCGCTGCAGCCGCTCACGGCGTGATCATGCCGTTCTTCGCGCTCATCCTCTCCAACATCATCACCACTTTCTACAATCCGGACATCTCCCAGATGCGCAGCGACGCGAATTTCTGGGCGGGCATGTTTGTGGTGCTGGGCGCGAGTGCGTGCGCGGCTATTGCGTGCCAGACGGTGCTGTTCGGTGTGGTGGGGTACTCGCTGATCAGGCGCGTGCGCGCGCTCTGCTTCTCCTCTGTGCTGCGGCAGGAGATTGGGTGGTTTGACATGGATGAGAACTCCAGGTGAGTCATCGCCCGCGTGGCTTTCTTCGTCCTTGGTGTTGGCTCTCACTCTCTCTAGGACTTCGTGTCACTTTCTGTCTTTGTCCCTCGATGTATATCTCTGTTTCTCTCTGTCTGTCTCTATAACTGCGTCGAAGACACGACCTCCTGCACAATCTCTCCTCATCCCCGCCCACCCCACCCCTATCCTCCTCCCCTTCTCCCACCAGTGGCGCCATCGGTGCGCGCCTCTCAACGGACGCGGCGCAGGTGCGGGGAATGGTGGGCGATCAGATGGCGCTGATGGTGCAGAACCTGGCAACGGTCATCCTGGGCCTCGTGCTGGCGTTCCGAGCCAACTGGCAGCTGTCGCTGGTGATTCTCGCCATCGTGCCGCTGCTGGCCATCACTGGCGCTGCTCAGATGCAGTCACTCAAAGGCTTCTCTGAAGACGCCAAGGTGCGCTGTGCTGTGCTGTGCTGTGCTGTGCTGTGCTGTGCTGTGCTGTGCTGCCACGGATGGTGGGTTTTTATGGGATGGTGTAATGTATGGGAGGGATGAGAGCGGGAAGGAGGTGGAGGGGAGGAGAAAGACTAGGAGCCAGATTCTCATGCAGGGCTCTTCCACTGGCACTATCTTGTCTTGTTCTGCCTGTGTATTCCGTGCTTGCTTGTTCCTTGTCTCTGCATGTTTGTTCCTTGTTCAAAACTCGACTCCTACTGTTGGCTACTCCTTCCGTGCTCCACGCGTGCCAGGTCAAGTTTGAGGAGGCGTCGCGGGTGGCGAACGACGCGGTGGGTGCGATGCGGACGGTGGCGGCGTTTGGAGCGGAGCAGCGCGTGCAGGAGCTGTACAACGAGCGCTGCAGCACGCCCATCCAAGCCGGCATCCGCAAGGCGCACGTCAGCGGCATCGGGATGGCTGTGGCTCAGTTCTCCATCTTTGGCGTCTACTCCCTCGCATTTTGGTTCGGAGGGAAGCTCGTACAGCAGGGGAAAACCACGTTTCAAGACGTTTTCCAGGTGGGTGGTTTGAGGCCGGTTGGGGGGGTGGCAGGTGACATGGCAGGCAGTTTAGCTTGCTTTCACCATGCTGACTGCTTCTTCCAGGATACCGTAGTTTCCTCGCGTTTGCATATTTCTCTATCTTTATCTTGATCTCTTGCTCTAATTTTTGTTTTTTTCGCGCGTTCCCTGATCCCGGCCCTTTTACCACCACACACACACGCACATACACAACATGCACCCTCCGTCCCCCTCCCAGGTCTTCTTTGCGATCGTGTTCACAGCAACAGGCATCGCCCAGGCAGCAGCACTGGCCCCAGATATGCCCACGGTGCAAGCAGCAGTGAACTCCATATTCCGCATTTTGGACCGCCAGTCAAAGATTGACCCGGAGGCAGGAGGGGAGGAGCCCGAGGAGGTGCTGGGCGAGGTGCAGTTCCACGCCGTGTGCTTCGCGTACCCGGCTCGACCCAACATCCCCATTCTTACCGACTTCAACCTGAATGTACCGTCTGGTCAGGTGTGTGGTGATGAGGCTGTGTGTGCAAAGAGCAACGAGTTGCTTTCTTTTGCGTTGTTTTCTTTTTCTGTTTCTTTTTTCCTATCGAAGTCTCATCCAGCAAATCTTGAATTGATGGCAGCACTCTTTTCCCTTCAGTGTCCCTTGTGTGTCCCTCTGCTTTGAAAACGACTGCTCATTAGGTTGCCTCTCTTCCCTCTAATGTCTGCTAGAATGCTCATTCCTTGCTCTTCCACTTCCTCGCCCTAACCCCTCCTCTCCCTCTTCCTGATTGTGTAACAGACGGTGGCGCTGGTGGGGGAGAGTGGCAGCGGCAAGTCGACGGTGGTGGCGCTGGTGGAGCGATTCTACGACCCGCAGAGCGGAGCCGTGCTGCTGGACGGCCGCAGCATCGCCGCTCTCAACCTGCGCTGGCTGCGCCAACACATGGGCCTCGTCAGCCAGGAGCCAGCGCTCTTCAACATCTCCATCCGCAACAACATCGCCTACGGCCGCGCCGGCAGTGGCGGGGCCAGCGGGGGGGAGATCAGCGAGGCGGAGATTGTGGAGGCGGCGCGGGCGGCGAATGTGCACGGGTTCATCTCGGGGCTGCCGCAGGGGTACGCCACGCTGGTGGGGGAGCGAGGCGTGCAGATCTCCGGCGGGCAGAAGCAGCGCATCGCCATCGCTCGCGCCATCATTGGTGACCCGCGCCTGCTGCTGCTGGATGAGGCCACGTCAGCTCTGGATGCGGAGAGTGAGAAGGTGGTGCAGACAGCACTGGAAAAGGTCATGAAGAATCGCACCACTATAGTCGTTGCCCATAGGTTGTCTACGATCAAGGATGCGGATTGTATTGTGGTGATGCAGAAGGGAGTGGTGGTGGAGCAGGGGAAGCATGATGAGCTGATGGCTGGTGGAGGGGTGTACTCCAGTCTTGTTTCGATAAAGTAGTTGTCTGCTATCAGAAGGGGCTTATGTCCCATCGCATATTGTTTTCTGCTTAATTTGTCTATTTGCTTTTATCGTTGTTGTGTGTTCTAGCTCCTGTTGGAGCAATTAGGCAAGCATGGTGTAGCCTGTTGCGTTCACATTGTTATCTATATTACCAAAATATATTATTCAATACGATAAGCCAACTCACATCCACACACCACTCCCATCCCAGCCTACCACACCCGACCCTCTCCAACCATCACAAATCAGAATCAAACCCCACATTCCAGAACCCAGGGGGAGTGGACGGAGGTGCGAAGCGATATCGGTGCCGAGACGCCTCCTGGTGCTGCTCACAGCGGGGCACCATCACACCGTCCACATCCCCGTCTAGAATCGCATCGTAGAACTTGCGGCACGTCTCACACTCACCTGCCTGCAGCGCCTCACGGTCTGATTTCTTCCTAACTACATCCACGTATTTGTACGGCGGGGGAGGGCCGCTGGCTCTGCCCAGCCTGCTGGGCTCTTGCGGGTTGAATGCTGCTGTTGCTGCTGGGCCTTGTGCTGCTGCAGCTCCTGCTGCTGCTGCTGCTGCAGCTCCTGCTGCTGCTGCTGCTGCCTCGCCTGGTGCTGGCTCGCCCCTTGCCGCTGCTCGTATGCTTGCTGCTGTTCGTCTTGTACCTTCAGGAAATGCTGCTGCTGCTGCTGCAGCTGCTGATGCTGATGCTGCTGCTGCTGGCAGTGCACCGCCAGGAATCTTATTAACACCACTTCCATCACCACCACCACCACTTCCACTCCCGTCGCCACAACCACCAACACCACCGCCAGCAGCAACACTGCCGTCACCACCACCAACTCCACCGCCAACAGCACCACCACCACTCCCTCCTTTCGCTCCCCCCTCCCCTCTTCTCCCACCCTGCTTCCTCACTCCATTCGCACCCGCACCAACACCACCGCCACCAGCAATCCTATCCCAAGCAGCCCTCTCAGGTGAGTCGAGCAGGTCAATGTCACAGTTGCCCACGCCTGCAGCACCAGTGCCGCCTGCCGCTGCAACTGTGCTGCTGCCAACTGTCTTGGCACACCTCCAACGTGACGTCTTCACCCCTCCCTGCCGCTTCTCTCCCACTTCTGCTGCTGTCCCTGCGGTTCGGGGAAGAGGCGGCCGCCCAGGTAAGACCTGCGCTTGCAGTGCTTGCGGTGGCAGTAGCACTTGTGCTGGTGGTTGCAGTTGTGGTTGCACCTGTGCTTGTGGCTTATCTTGCTGCTGAGTCTTCATGCCTGTTTTCTTGAACCTCTTATGCCCTTTGCCGGACTCACCAGAACCACTTGCTCCTAAACCAACCATGTTAACATCAAGCACTTCTGCTGTCGTTGCTCCACCATTTGCCCCTCGTTTCTTCCTCTCGCTGCTCTGCCGCACACCAGCAGCACCAACAAAACCAAGTGCACCCCTTGCCCCGTCTTCCTCGTCCATGCCATCCAAATCCAACAGCACCTGCCCCTGATGCCCTTGCCTCTGCCGCACCAGCCCCTGCTCCTGCTGCTCCTTCTGTCCCTCCTCCTCCTCCTGCTGCTGCAACGAATTTTGCCGATCCATACTGTCGCCATCCCACAGCATGTTTTGCTCTAATACCTCCAGCTCCTGCTCCTTCCCCTGCTCGCGCTCCTGCTCCTGCTCCTGCACATACTGCTTGCTCTCATTCCCCGCCTGTTCCATCTGCTTCTCCTCCTCCATCCTTCCCGGTTGCTGTTTCGCCTGTGGCAGGCTAGCTAGACCATGTGTGAAGGAGCAAGAAGCAGATCGGGCAGCAGAGCCGGTACGAGTGGCCCATGAAATTTTTTCACCAGAAACAGTCCCACGTATGCTGCTTCCTGCGTAGACTGAGGACTTATTACCCAACTTAGCATCCCTTCCCCCGTCAGCAGCATCAACGGAACCACCATAATTTACACCAGCACCACCAGCAGCAGAAGTTAGCACGGCAGAACGCCTGGAAGCATTGCCACGCTGCCTGCTTCCTCCTGAGAAGTGCCGTGCAAGACATGTCTGCTTCAGAGCTCCGCCTTGCTGCTTCTGTGACGACTCCCCATCCCCTCGGCCTCGCCACACCCTCCCACTACCAACTCCATCTCCACCGCTGCTGCTCCTGCTGCTGCTGCTGGTGCTGCTGCTCCTCCTCGCACGTGCGCTGCCACCAATCCCGTCCTTTCCTGCTACACCTGCAGCCTGCACTGCTCCAGCCCCATCCGCCACTCCTGCTCCATTCCCACCCTCCCCCTTCGCCTCCGCATGCACACCCACAGCACGCCGCATAATCACACGCCCCGCCCCCGCGCCCTTGGAAGCAACAGGCAGATCTCCAATCACAGCCACAGAAGCAGCCATCCGTGTCTCAGCCTCGTCCCGATCAACAATCTCGTCCCGATACTGCCCCATACTCTTCATCTGCCCTGCACTTTTCCCCAGCACCTCGAGACACGCAGCAGGTTCACCAACCTTGTACTTTCCCTTCATACCGTGCTTCCGCTCCAAGGCAGCCATGGTTGCCGCAGCAGCCGCAGTAGCACTGCTTGGCGTGCAGCTATCACCCTCAGGCAGCATCCCATCACTCCCCTTTTGAGAATCCTGCACATGATCCAAGCCTTGCAGATATTTCTCCTTCGCGCCTACTAGCTCTGCATCTGGGAACGCGTTAACTGTAACTTCCGTCACATCTCGCGCGCTGTTGTTCGCATCTCTCCTAACACGGGGTTTGCCGCACGGTACACCGCTACCAGACACTGACCACGCGCCAACACCCTTTTTCTCAGATACACCAGCAGCGCCATGGCCGCGCTTAGCCGGCTCGTCACTCCTCCTCGCTCCTTCCAGCCTGCCCACCGCCCACTCGCTGACACCCTCCTTTGCAAGCGCCTCAGGCACAAAGATTTCAGGAACAATGACGGGCGCTCCACGTGGCGAAACAGGGGCCAAAACTCCGGAGAATTCGCCGTTGGTGGGAACTTTGCTGTCGAGCTCTTGTCTGGCGTCGACGCGTCCCTCCTCCTTCTTTCTTTCTTCCTCCTTCCCCTCCTCCCCCCCTTCCTCCTCCTCCACTGCCATATCTTCCTCCGCCTTATCCTCCTCCTCCTCCTCCCCCTCCTTCTCCTCCTCGGCCAAGGTCACTGCAGGGATCCGTACTTTCGACCTCCATCCACTCGTCACCCTCTTGTCCCTCTTGTCCATCCCAGGAAAATTATCATGCAGTATCAGGGACGAGCCTTTGAACTTGCCATCCAGACCGTTCTCCCCGTCGCCTTCGAGCCGTTCTACCCTCCCGAGCTCCTCATCCTGAGTACTTGCGCGTTTCCCGCCGCCTTCACCACCGTTCTCGCCGCCAACTTTCGCATCTCCAGGCGGCCCCTCCTCGCGGAGAGATCCGAGCTCGCGCTTGATACACGGGTAGAGCGAGCGGCAAAACAGCCGTCGCACGCGATCGCTGGCCTCTCGCGCCGCTTCCATCGCGCTGATCAGCTCCGAGATCTGACGGTCCAGCTCCGGGGAAAGGCTTTGGCGGCCCGGGAAATCAGGGAAGGGTACAGTTGAATCCGGATATTCTGGTAGCTGGTGCGATGCGACCGTGGGAGAAGCCATCGTGAGTAAATTGGTTGATTGGGAGAGGCGACCAAAAAGTCGACGGACGGTAATAGGTAAGGCACGAAAAGAACAACCAGCAGTGGGAGGGGTCAAGGTGATGCAGGTAGTTGCGATGCGCAGCGCAAGAGCAGGGAAGATGCTAGCAATGGGCTTGGCTGCTGCAAGATGACATCGAGAATCCCGACTAGGTATGACTCGGTTCTGTACGGTTCTGCTTAATATGTCTGGATGAAATGGGCAGAAGAAGCAGGTGGTGCTGGTGGGAGGGGGATGGATAGCTGAGATGTGGGGGGGAGAGTCTCTTGTGTTCTGTGTTCCTCTGGTGAAGCTGTTTTGGGATTGTCGCCGCGGCTTTTGAGGTGGCGTCACCTTCACGACGAATGGCTTCCCACAGGAGGAAATTCAAGAGATGACATTGTATGCCGATGACGTGGCATCGGGGACAGCTTTTGGAGTTTGGCGGGCTTTTTGAAAGCTTGAAGTAGCAAATTGGGACCCGTTGTAGCAAAACTCAATATTTGAATGGAAAAACAAACCCCCAAACTACTCAGTCCACAATCCAAGCACTCAAAGCGTGAAGCTCGGTTCCCACTATCACTGAGACTCCACTTTCATTCTCTTCCCCCTCCACATGGAAAAACTGGCATGCCGACCGTTCATTGTACTCTTCTTCGTCCGCGTAGTCTCCATGGTCGGTGTTCATAGCCCCTGTTCCTCTTCCTTCGTTCGACTGATTCGTAGAAGTCCATCATTCCAACCTTGTGTTACACGTGAACCACGGGTGACTGATTTTATTGCAGTACCAGCAGCATCCTTGCATCCTTATGCTGCCCTCCTTGGTCCCATGACCTCCCCGACTTGCTCCTCCGCCGAGTGAATATTAGTTTCCGGACAGCTTTCCGTCATTTAGGGTTCTTCTTCCAGACCAAGGCCTTCCTTGGCCCCTTCGCCTTCTGCTGCCTTGCATCGCGTACCCGCTGCTTCCTTCACCCCTTCCCCTTGTTGGGCTGAGAAGCCCTAGGATCTTTGTAGAGTTTAAGGACTGAGTAGGATTGTAATAGCGCAAGCGTTGTAATACAGAGTGGTTGAACCACCTTGCACTGATATGTGAGAGCAAAGTAAGTTGGTGTTGGGAAAATAAACGCATGACTTAGTGCGTTTCTGTAGTATCGAACCTCACCCGATACTGAAGCACAACAAAAGGAGTACGAAGTCGAAAAGGCGCGTACCACATCAAACCGCAACTGGAGGTTGCGAGCTGTAACCGCCTGGAGGTTACGTAACAGCAAGCGACGCTTCAGTGAACAGTAACCACCTCGATAGTCGAAGCGTTACGCGTCTCGATAAACATAACCGCTTCTTGTAATCTATCCTTCCTATATATTCCTGTATGCTCTTTGCTTTAATCAATTACTTGTTCTCACATACCAGCACAAGTACATTCACTCAAGACTTCCGCTGTGCTACTCTAGCACCTACTAGCCTATTCTCTGCAAAGATCCTAAGGCTGAAATTCTCAGCCCAACATGGTATGAGAGCAGTCAGAGAACAAAGGCTCTCGTCACTAAGCCTCTTCCAGGCTACCAATCTGCAAAAGACCAAGAAGTTCAACCTTCACTCAAGAAAGGCAAAACATGGCAAGTGGCAAAGAAAGAAGATCATCTACGGGATCTACTCTACCCCCGGTCTCCGAGTTGCAGACCGAAGGAGGAACAACGCCCGGATTAACGCCGGAAGCGACGGAACGCTCTTCTCAAGCACCAGTAGCGCCGCCAACAATCTTCAACCCAAGCTTAATGGAGGAGTTCTTCAACTTCATGTCGCAGCAGCAGTCCTCGCAACCTGCAAACAGCAACAGCGTAAACAACGGAGCGGCACCAATGAGTATTGACAACTCATCGTTCGGACGACATAATCAACAAACACCAAATTCGGTCTCACCTGGTTCCTTCACGTTCATGCCGCCCCGCCATCCAGCGACTCCTCTTCCCGCCATCAAACGAGACACCGAAGAAGTCCTGCAAGTACAAGCACAGTTGAACAACATCCTACGACTGCACACATCCACACCATTCAACGGGAAGGACTTCTACTCTTGGAGCTTCGAGTTTGAACTCCTGATGGAAGGCGCGAATCTTCTTGGCTTCTTCAACGGTACCTGGCCATATCCACACAACGGCGAAGACAAGGACAAAGAAAATTATACGTATCACTCCCTCATGGCTTACACCGTTCTTCTCCGAAACCTGTCGCCGAACGAACAACAAAGCATCCGCGCCTACCGGAACTACGCAAACTCCGCGGAACTCGCTTATCAACATCTGCGAAGTATTCATCAAGCATCCGACAGCGTTACGCAAAGCCAACTCATGGCACAACTGACAACAGTTCAAATGCAACCTGGAGAAAAGGCCATGCCTTACATAAGTCGCTGTCAAGGACTACGCGACAGACTCATTCGCTGCGGAGGAAACTTATCTGAAGAAGCTTTCGTAACCGTCGTTCTTGCCGGCCTTGGACCTCAGTGGCGCACCACCCGCTCACTTCTTCGCGCTCACGGTCAACTCTCCGAAATGCATCTCTGCGCCGAACTTCACGCCGAGCAGCAGGAAATGGACCTGTTCGAAGAACGCAACAACAAAAGGCATCATCAACCAGTCGTTCTTTACACCAATCGACGACAGCCACGCTACCAAAATCGAGGACACGTACCTCCTTATTGTCATCTTTGTCGGACTTCAGGACACACACGCTTCAACTGCCCTCAGCAACAACGACAACCAGCACCATTCTCTCGTCCTCTGCGACCAGTGCCTCCCCACATCGCGTCAACTCAACAACGACCCGCTACCGCCTCAACGACTACTTCAACGCGACCGTCAACTTCCACTTCGGGACCTGCACAGACACCAAGAATCGTCGCCATGGCACGAACAACAGAGTCAAACATCGACTCGTGCATTACCGGCTCTCCACCGACTTACAGTCCTGATGAGCAACCGTCACCACCACCGTCGTCCCTTAACGTGAATCCAACGTACGCCGCCATCGCGAACCGTGCACCCACCGGACCAGACACATGGTTCCTCGACAGTTGTTGCGGTCATCACATGTGCTCTTCATCACGATTTCTTCAGCGCGAACGACGTCTTCCGCGAGACGTCATCATCACCATCGCCAACAACGAAAACCTGCGCACCAACAAACAAGGAGTCGTGGAGCTTCAGTCAAACGAAACAAACGTTATTCTTCAATTAAACAAAGTACTCGTCGTCGACAACCTCGGCTTTAACTTACTGAGCGTCAGCCAACTCATGTCGAAAGGCGTTCACCTGGAGTGCGACTCCGACGCCCTGGAAATCCGTCTTTACCACGGAAAATGGGGGGTCTTCATCGGCCGTGCAATCCAACAAGATGACGTGTTCGTCCTCGACTTCGTCCCCGACAAAGGCACCGCAGACAGCGACGGCATAGTCGCTCTCGCACCTTGGACGCATCCGCCAGACCTCGACCCGAACTTCAGTCCTGAAGGCTTCTGGTACTCTCGTACCATTCCTGAAGCTGAACGCACCAACGCGCTTGCCGTCCTGCAAACACAAGCCACAACACCTGAGTCAGCACCCGTCATCGAAACAACAACTGCACCCGTCACAACACCAACAACCACCGAACCTGCAATCGAAGAACCAACCGTCGTCGCGGAACAACCTTCCGAAACTCCACAGCTCGGTCCCTTCGTCGCACCTCCACCTCTCATCATCGACACGCCACCGACAGCCGCCCAACAGTTAACGCCAGCACCACGCGCCGTTCATCGAAGTGCAACAACACACGCCGCCTTCTTCCCTAACGCAGACTTCTATCGACGCTCCGTAGGTCACAGCGCCTCCGAAGACATCTGGCATCAACGTCTTGGACATCCTGGAAACACAACACTCTACAATACAATACGAGCCGGAGTGTTAGACAAGAACGCCCTACTTCTTCCCAACGGACATGAACTCGAACGACCACGCGGCACCTGCTTCCTCTGCCCGGAAGCAGATCTGCCTCACCAACCGTTCCCGTCACACCACAATCCGAGCGCCCCCGCTTATCAACCACTCGAGAAAGTCTACAGCGACATACTATACATACCTCGAACTGAAGGACGCGAAGATCTGAACTACGTCATCACCTTCATCGACGCCGCAACGCGATATGTCTGGCACGTCAACTTACCATCACGAGACATGGCTCTAGAAGCCTTCACAGCCTGGCTACCTGTCGCTGAAAGAGAGTCAGGAGCGAAACTGAAGAGTTTTCAGTCAGATGGCGCAAAGGAGTACCAGTCAAACAGCTTCACAGTTCTTGGCAGAAAGAGGCATCAAACGCCTCATCTCTCTTCCTTACGCTCACCAACAGCAGGGTGTGGCAGAAAGGATGAACAGGACCCTGCAGACAACCATGCGAAAGCTGCTACGTGGAACTCGACTGCCCAACTCAGAATGGCCAGCAGCGATGGACCACGCTGTCCTCCTGCACAACTTGTTGTCCTCGTCTTCACTGCCCAACAACGCATCTCCGCACCTGTTGTGGACTGGGAAGCTGGGCACCACAAAAATGTTACGAGTTTTTGGGTGTATGGTACAGTACCGCCCACACACTGCACGCGCAGGGAGATTCTCGCAACGTGCACAGTGGGGTCTACACCTCGGGCTGGCAAAACATTACGAAGCATGGCCAATCTTCGACGTCCACACAAAGGAAACAGTAGCAGCACGTGACGTTATCTTCTACGAGCGACTCACCCTCAACCATTACCTGGACAACATCGCACGCCACGTCGACCCCACCGGCGGATTTTCTGGTTCCCGAGCCTTCGCTTCACCCTCCGATGCTGATGACTGGGAAGAAGAGAACGTCGACGGCGCCTCCGAAGCTGCTGGACCCCTTCCTTACTGCTCTGTCCCAATCCCCATGGACGAGGAAAACCCTCGCGACAGTAACAATGCCGACGCCTACTACCATTTCGCCGACAATGGTTACGTAACACCCCAACCCGTCAACACCGACATCTCTGAACGATACGACCCCGGATTCGCACCTGATCCTGAAGCGGGAGACGAAGCAGTCTATCCCGAGGACCCCTTGCTGAATCGTCACACCCCCAGCGGACTCCAAGTCCTGGGACTCGTCGCTGCAGTGCACGGGCCTTCGTCGCCACCTGAAGAGCCTCGCTCTGTCAAGCAGGCTCTGGGGGGGGAACACAAAGAAAAATGGCGCGAAGCCATGGAAAAGGAGTTAAAAGCGCTCTCAGACCGCAACACCTGGAAGATCGTCCCTGCATCACTCGCACAAGACAAACCCATTCTCTCCGGAAAATGGGTATTCCGGATCAAAACCAACTCCGACGGAACCATCGAACGGTTTAAAGCTCAATGGGTCGTCCGCGGATTCGACCAAGAGTATGGTCGCGATTTCACTGAAACCTTCGCACCAGTCAGTCGACATACTTCCCTGCGCATACTCCTCGCCATCGCCGCCTCACGCCGCCGCCCACTCCGACAAATCGATGTCGCCAACGCCTTTCTATACGCCCCAGTCGACGCTGAAATCTTCGTCGAACAGCCCCACGGGTTCGTCGACGACCCTTCCCTCGTCTGCCAACTACTTAAATCACTATACGGAATTAAGCAGGCACCGCGACTCTGGCAGCAGTAC